CCTGGAGTCCCTGGATCGAGCCCGCATTGGGCTCCCTGCTCCGCAGGCAGTCTGCTTCTCCCTCTGACCCTCCCGACCCTCCCCCCTCTCATGCTCTCTCTCTCTCAGTCTCCCTCTCTCAAATAAATAAATAAAATCTTAAAAAAAAAAATTTGTTAATGTAAAAAAAATTGAAATGTAGGGTTAAATCTGACAAAAGATATATGAAAGCTCTATTCACTGGAACCTATACAACATTGCTAAGAGAAATTAAATAATATGTAAATAAATGAAAAGATGGATCAATGGCAAAATACTAAGATCTCAATTCCTTCCAGATTGATGTATACCTTAAACACAATCCCAGCTCAAATCCTGTTTTTACAGAAACTGACAACTGGTTCTATAATTCATATGGAAATCAAAGGACAAATAGCCTAACTGAATTTGAAGGTAAAAAACAAAGTTGGAGGATTAACATTACCTGATTTTAAACCACTTATAAAGCTACAGTAATTAAGACAATGTGATATTGATGCAAAGATAATACAAACATATTAATGGAACAGAATAGTCTAAAAATAGACTCACACATATATGGACAATCGATTTTCAACAGAGATATGAAAGTCATTCAGTGTGTCTTTTAATGTGAGAACAATTGGATATCAACAAGGAAAGAAAAGAACTTTGATTTGTTCCTCTTACTATATACAAAAATTAATACAAAATCGGGCACCTGACTGGCTCAGTCAGCGGAATGTGCGACTCTTGATCTTAGGGTCTTGAGTTCAAGCCCCATGTTGGGGGTGCCTGGGTGGCTCAGTCAATAGAGCATGGGACTCTTGATCTTGGGGACATGAGTTCAAGCCCCACGTTGCGCATAGACCTTACTTAAGAGAGAGAGGATATATATACAATTTAAAAAATTTTAACTATAGGAGAATTTAAAAAGGGGGGTTGTTAAATGTTTTTATAATCAAAGTATAAGGGCTTCTTAAGTATATCATGAAAACAAAAATCTTTTTTTTAACGATTTTTAATTTTTTATTATTTTTTTAAAGACTTTATTTATTTATTTGACAGAGAGAGACACAGCGAGAGAGGGAACACAAGCAGGGGGAGTGGGAGAGGGAGAAGCAGGCTTCCCACTGAGCAGGGAGCCCGATGGGGGGCTTGATCCCAGGACCCTGGGCTCATGACCTGAGCCGGAGGCAGAGGCTTAAGGACTGAGCCTCCCAGGCACCTCGAAAACAAAAATCTTAGAGGAAAACAATTGAATTTCAATTTAAGAGTTTCTGTATGGCCAAACAGATTATAAACAAGAATGGGAAACATGGAAAAATTAGGAAAAATACATGCAACACACATTGCAAAAGATTAATATCTTTACTGTAGGAAGAACATTTAGAAGTCATTAAAAAAAAAAAAAAAAGGAACATGTCAGTAGAAAACCTGACAAAAGTCCTGATCAGAAAATTCACAAGAAACAAATAGCTCATATAAAGAGATGTTGGACTAAAATTTTTTTAAAGGCAAACTTTAAAATGAAATAAGTTTTTACCTCGCAGATCAGCAAAGATATCCACACCAAGAACTCTACTCTTCACTAGAAGTGCTTAATGTGAGGGAGAAGGATGGTTAATGGTTTGCTATTTTCAAAAGGTACTCACTCCTTGTTGCCATCAGTTCCTATAACGTTCTGGTAATCTTCAACCTTGATGCTCCAGTCTGGGTTCCTGGCTATACTAAAACGTCGTATTTGGTTCCATTCTCAGCTGTAATTTCTTAGATCAAGGACAATTTGCTGAGTCATTGCACGGCGAGGACTCTAAGAGCTTTGCTTCCCTCAAAGACACATGGCTTCTTCTAACCATCCATCATTACCAGTTTCTTTAGTGCTACGGGGTTTTTCTTAATTCCACTGGTGGACTTTAGGTTCTGCATTTTCTTAAACAAAACTTTATTTATTTATTTAAATTAATTTTTATAAGTGGGCTCTACATTCAAAATGGGGCTTGAACTCACAACCCCAAGGACAAGAGTTGCATGCTTCACTGACTGAGCCAGCCAGGCACCCCAAAAACTACTTTTTAAACATTTTTATTTATTTATTTTAGAGAGAGAGTGCAAGCAGGAGCAGGGAGAAGGGGTAAGGGGGAGGGGCAGAGGAGAGAGAGAGGAGAATCTCAAGCATCTGCTGTGCTGAGATTGGAGCCCAAGGCGGGGCTTGATCCTGTGACCCTGAGATCGGGCCCCATCCCAGGACCCTGAGATCATGACCTGAGCCAAAATCAAGAGTCAGTGGCTTAACCCACTAAGCCACCCTGGCGCCCACCCCCACCCCCACTCCCACAAAAAACCCACTACTTTTAAATTAATCTTCTCAGGTTGCTCAGAAAAGAAAATGTTATGCAAGTCTTATTTTTTTAATCCACTTTTGAGGCTCCTTTTTAAAAATTTGTGGTAAGGGGCGCCTGGGTGGCTCAGTCAGTTGAGTGCCTGCCTTTGGCTCAGGTCATGATCCCGGGGTCCTGGGATCCAGCCCCAAAGTCTGGCCCCCTGCTCAGCAGGGAGTCTGCTTCTCCCTCTGCCTCTGCCCCTCCCCACCCCCTGCCCCCTGTTCGTGCTCTCTCTCAAATAAATAAAATCTTTAAAAAAAAAACTGTGGTAAAACAGGGCACACCTGGGAGGCTCAATCAGTTAAGCAACAGGTTCTTGATTTGGCTCAGGTCATGATCTCAGGGTCCTGGGATGGGGCCCGATTCAGGCTCCATGCTCAGTGGGGAGCCTGCTCAAGGATTCTTTCTCCCTCTCCCTCTGCCCCTCTCTGCTCACGCACATGGGCACACACGCTCTCTCTCTCTCTCTGAAATAAATATATATATATTTAAGATTTCATTTATTTACTTGAGAGAGAGAATGAGAGAGAGAGCACATGAGAGGGGGGAGGGTCAGAGGGAGAAGCAGGCTCCCTGCCGAGCAGGGAGCCCGATGCGGGACTCGATCCCAGGACTCCAGGATCATGACCTGACTTGAAGGCAGTCACCTAACCGACTGAGCCACCCAGGCGCCCTGAAATAAATATTTTTTTTAAAAATCGTGGTAAAATATACATAACATTTACCATTTTAAGCATTTTTAAGTGTGCAGCGCTGTAGCATTAAGTACATTCCGAATGTTGCAACCACACTACCGTCCATCTCCTGAACTTGAGACACAAACTCCCAATCTTCTCTACTCCCGAGTCACTGTCAACCACCATTCTAATTTCTCTACGGATTTGACTACTTTAGGTATACTGTATAGTGGAACCATACGATATTTATCCTTTTGTGTCTGGCTATTTTACTTAGCACAATGCCTTCAAGGTTCATGCATCTTGTAGTGTGTGTCAATTTCATTTCTTTTTTTTTTTTATCATTAGTTTGGATACCATTAGTTTATTATAAAAGAGAGACATGAAAATTATTTACATGATGAAAGATTTCACAACTTCACTGGAATGGGCAGCTTCACTTCATGCCATTTTAATAATGATTTCAGTCCACATACTTTCCGAGAATGTCACCATCTCTAAATAAGAAATAATCCTTGTCATCTAGAACTACTTCGGTGCCTCCATATTCTGGGAGAAGAACTTTATCTCCAACTTTCACACTAACTGGTTGAATCTCTCCACCCTTTCCTTTAGAGCCCGATCCAACAGCTACTAGTGTTGCTTGCAACACTTTTCCTTGAGATTTTTCTGGAAGCATAATACCTCCTTTGGTTAGTTTCAGCTGCGCTCCTTTCAACTAAAACTCGGTCAAAGAGGGGAAGAAACTTTCTAAACGCCTGCCCTGCCATGACGCCGACCGCCACAGTTGGTACTCTGCTCTGGAGCTGCTGCCTCTGCCTCATTTCTTTTTAAGGCTGAATAATATTCCAATTTTGTTTGTTTATATCACATTTTGTTTAGCCATTCGTTGATGGACATTTGGGTGGTTTCACCTTTTAGCTATTATAAATAATGTTGCTATGACCATTGAGGAACAAATATCTGTTCAAGTCCCTGTTTTCATGTCTTTGGGGTATATAGCCAGAGGTGAGATTGCTGGATCATATGGTACGTCTGTTTTGAGAAATTGCCCTACTGTTTTCCACAGCAGGAGAGCCATTTCACATTTCCACCAGCGATGCACACGGGTTCTAATTTCTCTACATCCTTGCCAACACTGTTATTTTCTTGTGTGTGTGTGTGTGTGTGTGTGTGTATACACACACGTATATAGACTAGTCTTGGAACCCTTGTCAAGAATCACTTGATTATATATATAAATTTTTAAAAATAAACTCGTTTATATATATATTATATAAACTATATATATATATCATATATATATATAAATTTTTTTAAAATAAACTCTAGTTTACTTGGACTTGACTAGTCTTGAAACCCTTGTCAAAAACCATTTGATCAGGGGCGCCTGGGTGGCTCAGTCGTTAAGCGTCTGCCTTCAGCTCAGGTCATGATCTCAGGGTCCCGGGATCGAGTCCCACATTGGGCTCCCTGCTCGGCGAGGAGCCTGCTTCTCCCTCTGACCCTCCCCCCTCTCGTGCTCTCTCTCATTCTCTCTCTCTCAAATAAATAAATAAATAAAATCTTTAAATAAATAAATAAAATAAAATGAGAATCATTTGATCATTTATGTGAAGGTTTATTTCTGAGCTCTCTGTTCTACTTTATTGGTCTGTAGGTCTGTCCTCACGCCATTACCACACTGCTTTGATTACTGCGGCTTTGTAGTGTAGGTTTCCTTGTTATTCTTGAAATGCACAACACATTCTCTTGGGCTCTTGTTCAATTCTTTAAGCCCCTTCGAGTGTTGCTTAGAGACTGGCACTTTCTGTAGTGCCCAAATTTAGCCAGGACCCAGGGATAATTGTGTAATCAGGTGCAACAAAAGGAGCAACAAACAGGTAAGTCATTCAACATGGTAGCTGGTTTCTTTGGAAAAGAGAAGGCACAGTCGCTAGAGTAAAACTGTATGCCTTTATTCAACTTAAATGAGTCATTAAAATACAATTTGCCCATGTGCAGAAACATTATACATTCAATTCTGAGGAAGGTAGTTTTATACAACCAGTACAAGGAACAGTCTAAAAGTGAGAGGAATAAAGACGATAGTGAGAGGGAGCTAAAAGGCAGAGTTTTATCTGTCAAAGTGCTAAGGCCTATGTGCACAAAGATTTTAGAGTGAACAAGACCAGCACAAGGTCATTTCTTCCATTCTGATTTCTCTTGGTGCTGGTGCAAGTTTTAAGGTGTGATGCAATGAGTCACAGGATTAAGATGGGCTTTAAAAAAACAGGTCATAGCACTTATGGCTAAGAGAAAGGTTTTTAATTTCTAGAGTTTCACTAGTCATGTACTTGAGATCTTTCATGGATTCTATGAATTTTGTGAATTTAGTAAGAACCTGTCCTTCAACCAGTAGTTTATTATCAAAGAACAAATTTTCAGGTCCTTCCCAGCCCAGATCTATCTCTTTATGCAACAAAGGGGAAACCAAATATGAGACTCTGCAAGAGTTTCATTAATTTAGTTTGTGTTAATTGATTACATATAAGTTCAGTTGGGGTCTCTACCCATGTCTTCAGGTTGCTATTGCCTGAAAACCTAAAATGAGGAATTGCTGACTTAGGGCCAAAGTCCAACTCTATCATTTCTAAGCTCTAGGTATCTGAAAACATCAGACATGGGCTTTTGGAAAGAAAGTAAGAAAGTAAAACTTTTTTTGTACCACACTTTCCATAGAAAGGAAATAGGCTGTGTGTAAAATAATAGTTATAAAATATCTTCAAATATTTTGATAACATTTAATGCATTGCTTTCTTATTGGGTTAATCTAAATTTTAAATATTTAAGAAGAGGATCCATGATTAAAGTTAATAAAATTAAGTGTTGACTCAAGTTGGCTTAATAGTGTTTATGAGCAACATCGACATTATTTAACAGACACAGGTGCACAACCCTAAATTCTGATCAGCAGCAAAAGCTGCCGCTAGGTAATTCCATAGAAAACCATCACTTAGCCCATAAAATATCTCAAATCAAATTCCATGTTCTAATCATGGCAATTTAACATTATATGAACCCAAAACCTTAAAAAATTTTTCGTAAAAAAGTTAAGAATAACTGAAAGTTTACTTAAACCCATTTTTAAATCCAATCTTGGGTTTACCTTTCTTCTCCCCTAAGCATTCTCTGGGTTTTCCAGTCAAGATGGAAATCAGTAGGTTTTTTATTTCCCTTTAGCCTCTTTTGAATTTGAAGAACCAGGAACATTGAGTTGGAAGTTATTCTTCAGGAGAACCGACCATCTGGTCATAGCCCATCTCCACAGCCTGATCATCTCTGGCTCTCCCTTCCAGGCCCAGTCCCTCCTTCCTGTTATAAGGAAGTCTTTCTAGGGATGACCTTTATCGGTTAAGACTGAGAGCTCCATGGAGGTATAGAGATTCCTCAGTTCATACAGTCTCGATAAAAGAAACCCAATCTTCTGTTTAAGGCCACCAAGTATTAGGAAAATAGAGGATACCCACCCTCCTACTTCCTGGACAAAGTTGAGACACTTCACGGTGGAATATACCAAATACCTCTTGGACTGAAAGGTGAATATGGATATTTTGGCATGCAGAATTTGAGTTGCAAATCCATCAATCCAAGTTAATGATAAATGGTAAGGAAAATTCAAGAATAAGCACTAACAAAATACAATGATTTATCCTTTAAAAACTTTTTTTTTTACCAGAAATTCTCAAAGAAAGAACTGGGAATTTAGGCCACTAAAAAAGGCTAGGATCCTCCTAAGTTTCTTGTAATTCAAGTTCTGTGACTAGAGATGGGGTGGGGGAGCCAATTCTACAGTATTAGAATAAAAACTTTAGAACACTAATTTTATCCATTATGGAGAAAAAACAGGGATACAACATCTCTTTAATAATATAAAATAAAGGGATACACTTCATTCTCACCAGACTACAAGATAAAAATCAAGGTTTAGTTTCAATTCCCTTAAGCTTCCTGTGGGTTTAAACATCAGTGACAAGTAGGCTGCATTATCTACCTAACAGTTATTAGAAAGGGTTAGTTAAGATTATAGCATCTTTCCAGACGCACTCACCAGAATTAATTGAAAGGGATTCTTTCTTCAACTGAGACGCTAAGAAATTTCTTTAAGTTTGGGGCGCCTGGGTGGCTCAGTCGTTGAGCGTCTGCCTTTGGCTCAGGTCATGATCCCAGGATCCTGAGATCGAGCCCCGCATCGGGCTCCTGGCTCGGCCGGAAGCCTGCTTCTCCCTTTCCCACTCCCCCTGCTTGTGTTCCCTCTCTCGCTGTCTCTCTGTCAAATAAATAAATAAATCTTAAAAAAAAAAAAGAAAGAAATTTCCTGAAATTTCTATTAAGAATTCTACATCTTCTGGGGGCCCCTGGGTGGCTCAGTCACTTAAGCAGCTGCCTTCGGCTCAGGTCATGATCCCAAGGTCCTGGGATCGAGCCCCACATCGGGCTCCTTACCCAGCAGGGAGCCTGCTTCTCCCCTGCCTGCCACACCCCCAGCTTGTGCTAGCTCTCTCCTTCTGTGTGTCAAATAAATAAAATCTTAAAAAAAAAAAAAAAGAATTCTACATCTTCCAATGATTGTTTTCAGAAAAGGTACATTTCAATAACATGGCTTTTCATTTCCACATTGTTATTTCACCTAGGGGCAATGCCTTTCCTTTCTTGCTTCATGTTTTGCCACTGGGTTTCACCCAGTGCCTCAAATGGTTTCCTTCCGTAACTCATTTACACTTAAATTTCCATCATGTCTTGGGAAGTATGTAGCATACAGTACTCCTGGAGCCCTGAACTAGACACATGCTGTATGGCTACTACATTAGGAAGACCTTTTACAATTTACATGGCTGCTTTTGTTTACCCTTGCAGAACCTGAACCTTAGTACAGTGCTTAGCACATAGTAGGTGCTCCGAGAAAGAGATGAATTAGTGAACAACATGATTTGTACACAAAACCAGCTAGAATCATTACGCAAAATCTTATTTCTTAAGACCACTTGTGGTCAATGGCGTCAAAAGCATCGAACACAGGTTTCTGGACTATGATGTAAATAAAGGACAGTTGGGGATTCAAGTTGAAGTTGTGTTCTAGTATACTGCTCTTTCTCATTCAACTGCCTGTCAACTATACGTTTAGGCCCCTACGTCATTAACCTGAATATGAATTTCACTTCCAGTGAGGTAGGAGGCCCATTTAAATAATTACAAATATGTACTATGAACGGCGGATGGGGGGTGGTTTCTGGAAATTGCCACAATGGGCTGGTTCACACACATTGAAATATTTCACTTTCGCTCCTATTATATATGGGAATTGTAAGGATGCAGATGTTCCCTGAGACATAAGAAATTTCCTTTAGTAAAGCATATTTTCAGCAAAGATTTAGAATGCTGTTCTCTTGGACTGGTAAACGATCTTCAACGTCTTTGGGCAACCCCGATGTTTGAAATTTCCATTTTTGGAAAAATAACAAAGCGATCTTTTAAAAAGCATTCTATGTATCCTTATTAATTTCCAAAATATGCTATTTTTATCAGTGAAAATAATCATGGCTGAGTAATTATGGGGAGAACTAGGGAACTAGAATAAAGAGTGAGTTTCATGGGTCACTAAGATACATTCGTGAAGTTCTGACCTTATTTTTTATTTCATCAATAAATCTGTGTTTAAAGAATGGGCTAGATACCTTTACTTCCAAAGACTACCTAGGTAGTGTTTGGCTCCTTCAATCAGATCCTAAAACCACGTATTTGCAACCACAAAACCTCCTGAACAGCAGGATTCCAGGCTATCGCAGGTATGGGACCACGGACAGTTAAGCTCTCCTACTATCTGGCTCAGTCCTCACTTGCACAAATGCCCTTCCTGACACTTTGGAGATCAAAATCAAAGTTCTCCTAGCTCTTCTAGCTCTCCGGATCAGTCAAGAAGGACCTAAAACTGGTTAGGAAACTCCCTCTCAGACTCATCAGGAAGGATACTGAACTGGTTAGGAAACTCACTTCTCAGAGAAGAACTGGGAAACAGAAAACAAGTTTTCGATTATCTTCATGAAATTATTTCTTCACATACTCCTACTGCCTGCAAGGTGGTGGCAGTGAATGTTTGCTAATGAATTATTAACCACTGTTGATAAAGAAAAACCTATTTTTACCCCTGAGATATTTTACCATTCTTTGTTTTAGAAGCAAACAGTGGGCACATTAAAAAAAAAAAAGAGGGGGCACCTGGGTGGCTCAGTTGTTAAGCGTCTGCCCCTTCGGCTCAGGTCATGATCCCAGGGTCCTGGGATCGAGCCCCGCATCGGGCTCCCCGATCAGCGGGAAGCCTGCTTCTCCCACTCCCCCTCCCCCTGCCTGTGTTCCCTCTCTCGCTGTGTCTCTCTCTGTCAAATAAATAAATAAAATCTTTAAAAAAAAAAAAAAAAAGAACGCACCATGTTTTTGTGTTTGTCTGTTTTTAACATTCCCAGTAACATCCCATGGTTAAGAGACAGAACAGTTCAAGGGTGAAAACAGAGACAGACAGATTAGGCATATTTAATATTTTTACTAGAGTTCTGAAAGAAACATGCTACCCTGATTTGTTTATCACCAAATTCCTCATTTTGACTCTTCTACACAATCTGTGGTAATCTTGCAATGGTGATATAAGGGAACAGCTGAGGGCCCTTACCCGCACCGCTCTCAGACGGATGTCAGACCTCAAGAGTCACCAAAAACTCCAAGGTTTTTATTTTCACTTTAATTATCTTTTACTTAATAATAAAATGAAAAATAAGAATATATGAATACATACAATCTATATACATATATTTATTGCAAATACTTAAAATTCTTATGTAAAATGATTTTTCTATATTTGTGAAAAAATATGACTTTTTAAATGGTGTTGACACCAACTTCTCTGTACATACCCTCAATTCCAATGTTAACAATTCCTTTAAAAAGGCAAAAGACACAAAAGTTTAGCATTTACCAAACCAGTCTGTACAAACCTTATAAGCCAGAAGAAAAAAAATAGCTCGTGGTAAATAAGTCGATTTTCTTTTAAAATAAAAAATAAACTCCAAAACTATTCCCCTTATTGCATTTTTCGGAAATAATCTGAGTGTCTTTAGAGTAACTTCCTTTGTAATAATTTGTGCCTTAACAGTGAGGTCCTACATAAACATACCATATATGAGAAATTCAAAGTCTTCCGCTGTCACTTTTTACATAGATATTAAAATATATATTACTTAAAATATATTACTGGAAAGCTATTTTTTTAAAATTGATCTTTAATAGTTGTATCAAATGTAAAGCATTAAAAAAAATAAAGTAACCAAGAATCTATGAAGCTCTTACTTCAACTTCAGGAAATGTTTTACCTATTGTTCCCTTTCAATAGGTACGTAGGTATTGAAACATGGTAGGAAAAGATCCCTGCCTATCATCATGTTTCTCAGTCTCTTTGGACTATTCTATAAACTGAGCTGAAAACTACCATTGGCCAAGTTTTTTACTTAGCACATTGTTGTAATGCAACGGGGACTCTTCCCTCTTTGCTGTGAAGTGAAACCTCTAGGTCACAGAGAAAACCCTGGCACTGTTCACTGACAGTGAGTTCTAGAAATAAATAGTGGTGTAATGACCAGAGAAGAACCCCTCATAACAAATAATTTTACCCAAGAGTTCTTTAAGGGCTCTAAGGTGGAGAAAGGCAATAATAAGCAATTAGGATGGTTAACTGTCAAGTCATCAATATGTATGAATTTACACCTTCACCGGGAAGGCAAGGAGGTCCTCCTTTGGCTATTTAAATCTGAGATAATTCCTAAAACACCTACATCTGGGTGCCTTCCCAGCCCACGCAAGTATGCTTCCCCTTCTTCAAGAAAAATGTCCCATTTGCCAGATCTTATTCTTAGAAATGTTACATGGGATAACACAGATAGTTTCAGTACCTTGAGCACAGGGGTTAAGGAATAGTAGGGTGAACAACCCCAGGTTGTTTAATAGGATGGAGAATTTTTATCGAATTTTTTAAGATTCAGGGAGCCTTCTCTACTAGACAACTCAGAACAGTCATTAAGACTGAGATGACATATTTATTGTTAATGCTATCTCCCCCATGTGACCTACAATGGAAGGTATCTGAAGGTTCGAGAAGCATACCCTGGAGGCATAAGCATCAGGCATAATGCCTGACTAGTCACTGGAAATAGTGCAACTAAATACCATTAAAAAAAAAAAAAAGCTTAGCATTGATTAGCAACCTTTCAGATTGAACTGAAAGGTAAAGCAACTCCAAAAACCTAAAATAAAAACTGCTTTAAAGGTATTTGGAGTACCATGCTCTCAGTAATATAAAGATTTTTCTTGTTCCTACTGCTTCATTTTCAAAAGGGCCAAATTGTATTGTTAATGTGTTTGGATTGTTGCTGATTGTTTTTCTGTTCAGCTCTTAAAATGAATGACTTTCTACCTGAAACCACTGTGTTGAAACAAACTGACAAACGGACTGTGTTCAATTTACTACCAAGCCGAGAGAACCTATCCTCTCATTTTGTCAAGACTGAAGCAGTGTACCTAGTTGACATATCCTATTTCAGGGACATCCATAAATGCAAATATTTTATTAGCTGAGTATCATTTGTTAAGAGAATCTGGGGAATAATAATGCTTAGGACCTATCTGCAAGAGCCTTGGTCAAGAAGAAGAGGCACGATACGGTTTGCTCTCCAAATGGACTTGAAAATCCCTGATCCCTTTCCTCCTCTCCTGGTTAGTCTGTCCAAACTCAGATTACGGGAACCGTGGAGGAGAGACTTCCTACGACAGGAAAGGTGCAAAGAAGAAAGTTCACTTTGATCAATCCAAATTGGTAATTCATGTTTAGCATGGGGTTAGTTCTGAAATACTCAGGCACTTCCAGCACACAGACCAGCCCTCAGTCCTGGCACTGAACATGGGGAGTGAGGAAGCTGAGCACAGAGTTTTAACCAGCAATAGGTCCTTTTAGCCCCTGCCCTTGGATTACCGAGTACTGAAAGTTTGGAGAACTGAACCATTTTTGTTTCTTCCTGGATCTTGGCTAGAGAACTTACTCCTTATCCCTGGATCCTTGTGTGTGTGCCGGAAGAAAAGGGGAAATTAGGCGGACATCCTATTGTCTCGGCTGAAACTAGAACAGAGATATTAATCCTGTATTCGCCTTGAGCCACAAGAAATCACAGAAGCAAAAACCAAAAAACAGTGAAGTATTAAGTTTCTTATGGGGTTCAAAAGTATTAAAAGCATGTATAATGTGGGGTGAAGAATGGGTAACAGAATGGGGAAGAGCAAAGAGTATTACTGTCTACTTTCTCCTAATCTGGAATGTGACTTAACAAGTGACACTGTTCTGCATATGGTCAATATCACATCCTGAATATGAAGTGTACTAGGTTGCAGTAGTATTTTTACTTTACACACTTGAAATTAGGAAAACTTAAAATCAATATGCATGATGCATATTGACAATACCCGGTTCCTTAATACCAAATTCTGATAAATTGTAGATTTATTTTAATGTTCTTTAACCATGACCTAAATATATGTACTCAAAAACTCTTCAGTCACTAGTGACAAGATTTAAAAAACAACAACAAAGGAAACAAAAAAGAATCAACAAAACTTTGGAGCTAATTTCTCTTCCTTTCTAGATGTTCCCTTAGCCATTTACTGAAGCCCCTTTACACTAGAAATTTCTAGTGCATAGAAAGCAGTAATCCAAAACAGAGGACGTATCTTCCAGAACAGCAGAAGTGTCTAACTTTTACTGTGTATGTCTGTGTGCACACGTTGTGTTCAAAGTAGTATCTAGAGGAGGTAAGATTATTCCACACTCCTCAGATGCCTGGGAGGTCAAAACAGGCGAAACAGAACGGGCCAAAGTGGCAACAAGGAGCTTTCCCTCCTGCACAACAGCGGACTACAGAACATTAGGGAACAGGGTTGGGCAAGAAGAGGAAAAGAGAGGCTACCTTGTTTCTAGGGTTAAAAATCGTTTCCCAAAGTCCTTTACGTCCAGTTTAAGAGTTTCTGCACTTTTTTTTTACTCCCTTGCCCAACAAAACACAGAGTTCAAATCACCCCATGGCTAGCATTTTTTGTTACTCCTCTACTGGCATCTCACACCTTTTTGTAAGCCCCCCCGACTGACCAAGTACCCGGATGTTCCTGCTGGAACTGCTGCCCAGCACAGGCTCAGCGAACAGCAGGGGCCTGGGGTGGCACACCCTTCGTGGGCCACGTTCACGGTCTCAGGGCAGGGCAGGGGGCCACAAAGCGCAAGCAGAGAGCTTGGCAACAGTACTGGTTTGTGGAAGCCAAGAATCAGGTCAAGAGCTTTCAGAGTCTGAATTACTACCTATGAAATTAATACAGTATCAAAAATGTGAACTTAAGAAGGTTCTGTCTAAGGTAAAAGGACTGAGTAAACCCTGAATCCAAATCCCGCCAAGGCTGAATAATCTAAGGAAAGCCTGCAGTCAGACCATCATGACATAATCAGCTTGAATGGTCATTTCTCCAGACCATTCCTTCATTCCTTCCTTTTCCTGGCCTCTTAGGAAAGGAGAGAAGAAAGACAGCTTCCTTTAACCATGCATGGCATTGAACTTTTCTCAGAGTCACGTGAAGTGGAACATAAATCTGAATTCAAATACATCATTACCTAAACACTTGGGAAAACAATGTTAAAACAAAATGTGACATATTTACATGATTTTGTAAGTGCAAACTTGTCACAAATTCACAAAGTCTTGCTTGACCTAGACTTACTATACAAGGTGCTCTTCCTCTAAAATATAAGATCTGTACTCTGTATTCCTGATTAAGTAACGTCTGTCTCTTAAGACAACTGAAACCTACTTATTTATTTCTGTGATTCCGAAAGGACGCAAAAAACACATCTCATCAACCCTTCCCTCCCTGCCTCCTTTACAGCGTGTTCTCTTTCTAGTCTCGTTACCGAACGACAAGGCAGGAGACACACAGTTTCGAGGGCCCAATGCAATCATCGTGGCAGAATGCTCCACACCCCTTGCACATGATCATGGCTTTCAATCGGCAGTAACATTTCGAAGGTGCGTCCTCGATGCTGTTCTCTTCAGGAAAGGCCTGAACAGGAATGGTCTGGCCATGGCTGCTGGGATTCATCGCTTGGCTAGCAGGGATGGTAGTGACAGTCACCGAAAAGGACATGACATCACCTACATTGCTAGCCACCTGGCTACAGTCAGGCATCCCCGGGACAGCAGAGTTACGGTCCATGTCGGACGAGGTGGAGACATTGATCATGCCTCTATAGCTTGGCCCGATCTGCGTGGGGCTTCCATACAGCTTCGGGGTCTGCAGTGGTGGAAGGAGGAGAGGCTGATGGGTGGGACTGTCTGCGGTCAGAGGAAGAGCAGTAGAATTGAAAAGCTCAGGGCTGCTACGCATCGTCTTGCCTCTCACTGCATGAGCCATTTGTTTCTGTGCTGCCTGAATGAAATCTCTGGCTAGGGTCTTTTCATCAAATGTTTGGCCTCTCGTGAACAGGTAATTCTCCTTGCTTAAAGTGGTTTGCTCATGCACTGGTGTCTCCACCTTCACATTCTTTCTTGCGAAACAATCATTGGTGGATAGGGCTTCTCTACTGTGGGGCCCCGAACTTGCTTCACACCTGCCAGGACCCTGGGCAGCCTGGGGCTCCTCCTTCACCACGATGGGTTCTTGCTCATCACTGGTACTTTCCTCATCCGTATCTTCTTCTCTGCCACTGCTACTATCTCCTGTTGCATTTTTACAGTCTGTGTACCCCATGTTCAAGGCCTCCGTGGGGCTACTTAGACACGAACGGTCTTCAGGGTTTATAGAATGGGTCCTCCTAAAGCTCTCTGAACCCCGGCCGTAGGTGGAAATGTTAAGTAAGTAGTGACCTGCCATGGCAGGCTTCGATGTCCTTCTGCCAGCAAAACCCAGCATGAACCTCTGGCTTGTGGAGATGTCGTCCAACTGGAAACCTGAGTGAGCGAAGTTGAACTGGGAGGGCTGCACAAATGGGAGAACGTTCTGCCTCCGAACCCTTTGGATGAGAGTCTGAAGGATCTGCTCTTGGGTGGCTTTGCTTAGTCCTTCCTGGTACTGGTGTGTGTCAATGCCAGAGTCCCTCAGTTCCTTACCTGGAAAGAGCTGAAGGGGTCTTGGAACCTGGGAGAGCTGCTTACTCTGCAAGGCTTTCCCCAGCTGCTGCAGAGCCGGGTGGGACTGCCTCTCACCCCCTTCCTCTCTGACGCTGTCTTCTGTGGCGCCAGGGCCCGTGAGCACTCCCGTCCCCAGCTCCTCTTTCGTGGGCAGTGGGACAGTTTTCATTTCAACTTTGGTGAGAGGTTTAGGCAGAATTTGCTCCATGGGAACATCTTTGCCCTGAAGCAGCTGAGTGACCAAAGGGTTATTCGCAGGGATACTAGAGCTCGGCCTTGGCATGGGTCCATTCAAATTTGAAGAAGTTCCTGGAGTTTTAAGGCTAGAAGCTACTGGCAAAGTGCTCGAGGACGGAGCTGATCCCGGAGGCGCTACAGTCACGCTGACCTGGGGTACAGGAAGCTTCTCTAAAGCGGCTGCGGTCAACAACGATGTTAAAGGAGAGGGAGTCACAGCCGCTGAAGTACTAGCAGTTGTCTCTGCTGAGGCCGAAGGGTCTGGCATATTCCTACCAGAACCTGCTCTGGGCTCGACTGTGCCATCGGCTGCGAAACGAACAGGTGGGGAGGCACCTGAGATGAGTGCGGAACCCGCCGGAGCAGAAGGCGCCTTCTCCAGTCTGCAGGTCCCGGGGCCTTGTGGGTGGGGGAGAGAGGCCACTGCGGCTGCTGCCCTGGGGGGGTGCGGGGGTTCGTTAGCCGGCTTCCCTACAGCGGGTGGGGGCGCATTAGTGCGGGCTGGGGAGGGGGCCCTTGCGCCGGCTCCACCGCCGGCAGAGCTTGGAGGCACCGAGGGGGTTTGCTGTAGTTGTGCTCCAGAGACACCATGAGGCTGAGCCTGCTCTGGGCCCTTGGTCTCAGACTGGGGCTGAGTCTCTGGCCCACAGGGTAAAAGCTCTCTCGTACCTCCCCCGCTTCTAGTTCCTGCCAACTCCAGAGTGGGGCCCTCTCCAGGTTCGCGGCCTCTGTCTGAGTCTGGCCTCCCTCCTCCAGCGGTCTTGCTGTCACCGCCCTCTCCGGGGCCTTGTCCGCCCCCGGGGCCAGGTCCTGGAACGGTCCCTCCAACGGAGGCCGCGGCGGCGGCGGCAGCGGCGGCGGCGGCGGCGGCCGCCCTCTGTGCTTTGACCAGCTGGGCTTTTGCTTTGATGTCTGCAAGAGTTCTGGCTCCTGTTCTGTTAGGACTAGTGATGGAGACTGGAAAACGAGCCCTGGGAGAGACCTGCGATGTAGGAAAAGGCATGGGGGAGATTCTGGAGACCGGGATCTGAAAGAAGGAGGGAGGAAAAAAACCCAGAGCTTAGTTTTCATTGACAAGAAAAACAGAACTTCCCGAACACTTGAACTGTTGCGGTAACTGCTGCACCCCAGTCACAGAGATGGGGGGTCACGGCCGAGAGACCAAAGCGTGGAGAGACAGCAACGCGACTGTGTCTCTAGGGTCCTTCCAGCTCTGCTACTGGTGCCAAAGCCCCTCCTCCCCCAACACCCTCTCTGCCCCAAATCCCCATGCCTCTCTTCTCAACGCGACTCCCTCCTAATGGCAGTACTACTCACGACTGCTTATTACTTAAGATACAGACCTTGCAGGGTGTTTGCACTTTCGAATGTGTGTGTGAGAGAAGAGGCATACCACTGTCTTTTTCTTCTTAGCTCTCCTTCCAAGCTCCGAGGAGAATTCTTGCTCTCTTCTGCTCTACGCACACACGCACACGTAAGCACTCAGGCTGAATTATCTCAATGACAGAGGCGTCTAGATAGCACTGGAAGGTAGACCGTGTGTGATCCACAGATGCACCCCACGCCGTCCATCCAGACAAGGGAGAATGTACATAATGTATACAGTGTTCACCACACTCATTTTCATCCCTGGCTGGCTTTATCCTTACTTGGGGAGCTGGTTAAAAATATATGTGCCCTGGGGGCACCTGGGTGGCTCAGCTGGTTAAGCGACTGCCTTAAGCTCAGGTCATGTCCTGGAGTCTCAGGATCGAGTCCCGCATCAGGCTCCCGGCTCGGTGGGAAGCCTGCTTCTCCCTCTGACCCTCTCCCCTCTCATGCTGTTTCTCTCTCTCTCTCTCAAATAAATAAAATCTTAAAAAAAAAAATTTAAAAAAATATATGTGCTCCGGGTCCTATCCCCAAATTGACAAATTAGAACTCTGGAGAAAATACGCTTTTCTGAAACACTTCCTGGGAAACTCTGATACATCACCAAGTTTGAAACCAGTGATTTTCATAGCATAAAATACTGTATCTGAAAGGAATCAGGCTCCTATTTGAAACAATACTTTGGAAGCTATCAGAGTTCAATTAGAATGCATCAAAGTCTGGACCCTTCTAGTAGTGGCCAGAACTTAAAGGAGCAAATAACTGTTACAGATTTTCTAGGGCATTTAATTAAAAAAAAGAAAAATTGGGGCGCCTGGGTGGCTCAGTTGGTTAAGCGACTGCCTTCGGCTCAGGTCATGATCCCGGAGTCCCTGGATCGAGTCCCTGGATCGAGTCCCGCATCGGGCTCCCTGCTCAGCAGGGAGTCTGCTTCTCCCTCTGACCCTCCCCCCTCTCATGTGCTCTGTCTCTCTCATTCTCTCTGTCTCAAATAAATAAATAAAATCTTTAAAAAAAAAAAAAAAAGAAAAGAAAAATTAAGCCACAGGGCTCTAAGGAAATGCATGTTATCTTTTCGGAACTCCTTAAAATTAAGAATAGTAAAGGGCGCCTGGGTGGCTCAGTTGGTTAAGCGACTGCCTTCGGCTCAGGTCATGATCCTGAAATCCCTGGATCGAGTCCCGCATCGGGCTCCCTGCTCGGCAGGGAGTCTGCTTCGTCCTCTGACCCTATCCCCTCTCATGTGTTCTCTCTCTCTCATTCTCTCTCTCTCAAATAAATAAATAAAATCTTTAAAAAAAAAAAATTAAGAATAGTAAAGTCACTAAAAATTTTTCATTATTTGCAATATCCATTTCTCAAAAGCTCAGCAGTCCTGAGAAACAGATTCTCCGTCATTGAGAAGTCAGAGCAGTGGGATCGTCACAGGCGTCACAGGCCACACGTCTCACGTCAGGAGATGTACCTAATCTCTCTCTTAAACACTGAGTCTCTTTTACATCTAACTGCACAGTATTTTAGAAGCTACCAATAGAGGGAAAGAAGCAATTGTTGCCCCTTGGTAATATCACCTAGAAGAGACCACTAGGACAGGTAGAAAGTAGGTAAAACCAGAAAATTAAATCCAAGAAAGTAAAAGCACAGTTGTTTAGGGGAATTGTATATAGGGACAAACAACCTTACATCAGAATAATCTTGAGAATAACAACATACCTAGCAGAATAAATAATATCTATTGTAATGACTGAAAATCATTACTAACATGTTGATAAATTCATTAAAAGTGGTTCTAATAAAAAGTCTTAATATGTAAAAATAATGAGTTTCAGTTATTTATGTAAATAGCTCTATTACCTGTTTATGTGGAATAAATGAGATGTTACACTCTGTAAGCACTAAGGGCTCAATGGTGTCTGGGCACTGGTAACAATTTAATACCAAGAAGCGCTATCCTGGTAGAGCAAGGTAAATTCTTTTCATATATACTGAATAGATGGGGCGCCTGGGTGGCTCAGTTGGTTAAGCATCTGCCTTCAGCTCGGGTCGTGATCCCAGGGTCCTGGGATTAAGCCCTACATCGGGCTCCCTGCTGAGTAGGGAGTCTGCTTCTCCCTCTCCCTCTCCCCCACCACCATCCCCAGCCCCGCTCCTGTTTCCACTTGTGCGCTCTCTCACTCTCAAATAATAAAATCTTTAAAAAATAAATAAACATATACCAAAGAGGAAACACAGTTTTCCATCTCCGCCCCCATACATATGATGTTACAGATACCCATGTTGTAATGTGTGCACACATATGCACGTATATAACTTACATATATACACTTGTATAACATTTGTAATAAACTAAAATTTTATTTTTCTACTTAAGTTTTAGTTAAAAGATTTTGCTGTTATAAATTACATTAAGTTTTGTCTAAGAAAGTGGGATTTGAGATACGGCCTAAGGTAAGAGTTATTAAAGCAACTTCTGGTAGAAAATATTCTGTGGGGGGGTGGAGGGGGATGAGAAAGGAGAAGAAAGCAAAAGGGAAAAAATTAAATAACAATAATACGGTCATGGTAGACTTAAGTTTTCAGTGTGGAGCCTCTCTGGATTAGAGAAAGCAGACCAAGTAGCATGTAATTCTGCCTCTATACAGATGAGGAAACAGAAATGATGAATCTTACCCAGTATCATTTATATAAAGTAAAACCTAAAATGTAACTCGGCTCTCGGGTCTGCATAGAAGTTCTGACTGACATTCATTACAGAAAGGTTTCTAATATTTTTATAACAGTAAAAGTGGGGAAAAAAAGAATGGTAAAATGATTTTCATAAAAAAATCACAATCTCCGGCAAAGCATGCAAGGTATGTTAATGGTAGAAAAGTGGCAAACATTTTTTAAAAAGGGAGATTCCTAGGTGCACAAATCTTAAAATTAAAAAGTAATGAGAATGTCATACGATTAGTAATAAGACGCAAAATGAGAGAGAAATACATAGCAAATGAAATGGGTCAAGTACTAGCAACTGAATGTTTCTAAGGGATATGTCCTGATGGAACGAACTTTGGTTCATCTAAGTTAAATAAAAAAGGGGGAAAAAGTATTTCTATGTGCCTTTTTTTTCTACGTATATCCTAACGTGAATGAGTAATACCCAGTGCCTGGCGCACAGTAGACACAATAGTATTAATGAATACCACTAGGAAAAATTTATTAACATATACTATTTATTAAGTGAATAAATGAACTGCAAGCTGATATTAAGCACAAGCCCAAGTATTAGTAAACCTTTAGATCAGAAGTAAAAATGTGTTTGGGTTTTAAAGGGCTCACTACTGGTTAGATGCAGTCTTTATATACTAAGATAAGGATACTGCTTTATGCACGTGAAAGATTTGATAAGCAGCAATAGAATGCTAACATGGAAGTCAGTGACACAGCCTGAGCAACAGAGCTTAACAAGGCTATCCAACCTTACTCATGTCCCTCAAGTAACCAGCAGTGACCCATGGCAACCATAGAGGTTTCCTTCAAAAAGATGGAACTAAAGGTAGTTCTAGAGCCACAGAACATCAAATCAGTTATGGCAGTAAGAAAAGGGCCAGGGTACACTTAAGTATCACGGCTCTTGCCACAAAAAAGCCAATGGCTTCCTTCTGTTTATATTTCTTATGTTGTCACATGAGACAGAATAATTTCCACAACTATCTTAAGATGTAAGAGTAGCCAGCAGGGAGGGTGGGTGGAGGTGGTCTCATTAATTAGATATCCATTACTTACTCAACCACTAATAAAGATCCTTGGGAATGCAGTTCTAAATGCCTGTTTATTAATAATTTTGTTCATGTTAGAACACAGTCACAGGCTTATCACATATATACAACTGCGTTATGAAATACCACAAATGACTTGAAATTTAATAAGACCAGAAACTTACTGTTCATACATTCTCTCTTTTTCAATTCTTCCCACTCTCTTACCTTGAGAGGTGGTACTTTTCGCACCTGGATCCTGTCCCCTCTACTGAGAAAGGGCTGTGGCGAGACTTGAAATGGCTGCTGGTACTGGCGATTCTCCGTGACACGTGGCCTTTTCTCCCAGCTCACGGGGGCCTCTTCTTGGATGAGACAAGATTTCCTCTTGAGGCTTTCTGGGCTGTGATCAACCAGAGCTGATGGAGGTTCTTTCGCAGTGATATCCTGTGGACCTGCTTCTGCTATGGGCTTCATTACTGGTTTTTCCACCCCAGGACTCTTGGGTTTGTTTGGGGATGTAACTAAAGCTTCTTGGCTTTCATCTTTGTTATAATTAGAAACTGTAGTGAGATGATTCTCCTTCTCAGACTCCTGTTCAGCAGAGGCAACTGGCTTCTGCTCCAAGAGATCATCATCCTTTGGGCACTTGATGGGAAGAATGCTGCTAAGCTCTTGTGTATTGCTTGCTGAGGGAAGTAGGGGCTCTGTGGATTTGGGGTTTGGCTGCACCATGTCTTGGCCTTCATGCTCTTCTTTTCTTACTGGGGATGGCATTTGCACCACTTCTTCTTTAGACCCTAACTGGGGAATTACTGGGACTATACCGACAGGTGAGGCCTCTGAAGGGAGCATGGATTTTGGTTGCTCAGCTGGGGTTTTCTTTACTTTGAGATCACTGGGCGAGGCTGTCAATTTCTTTGAATCCTCAAGGCTCAGACCAGAACTAAAAGGTGGAAGGAAAAAATATTCTAGTTGAAAAAGGCCTATGTTATTGAAAGTGTTAGGAGATAATAGTATATGGCAATGCCTAGAAGAAACCCTGACATATAGTAGGTATTCTTCATGTATCATCACTATTATTATTACTATTATTAGTAGTAGTAGTGAAGTTCTGGAGCTCGAGTGCCTGGATGCAAATCCTGGCTCTGATACATCCATGTGATGTTAAGTAAGTCTTTTGTATCTCAGTTTCTTCATTATATACTGAGGTTCATCACTTTATACTGTTGGTGTGATTAATTATGCATATAAAGTACTTAGAACAGTACTTAGCACATATTAAAGCTCAATAATGTTAATTATCATTATTACTTATGTTTATAAGAGGGGCTACCTTTTCTAGAGGCAAACATCACAGACTACCCACAAGGCAAGTGAAAGAAGGCCAAGACCCAGGTACTCTGATCAACTCTGCTCTGTAGCACCTGCAGAAAGGAGGGCCGAAGAAATCTACGGGCCCCTGAGGAGATAGTAGGAGGTGGCTGTCAATGTTCTTCAGAAAATTAGAACTCTGGAGTTTCTGGAAAGCCCATTTACACTTCACTTACTATAGCTCTTTAATTCTGAGATCAATGCCTCTGAGCTATCCTGGGAGTGAAGGTCAACTGGGACTTCCACAGTGTGGCCTCGCTAGAACTAGGCTACTCAGCGGGAGTCACTAGAGACTCTTCATAATGTTTTGGAACACTGTTTAACCAGACAAAAGCAAGGGACCCTCTTTGGTGACTTCAAATGATCAGTACTGCACCTCTGAAATGGGAGTGGCTAACAACAAAACTAGACAATAATAAAAAACAGTCCTCTGTAAAAACTGGCAAAAAAAAGTTAACAGCTGAAAACAGAAAGACCCAGAAATTCCTACAATGCCTATAGAGGAAATTAACAATATTTACGGAGTGACAGCTACCTGCAATAACAGTCTAAATGGATACACCATCATTTATGCAGAAGGGCTCAAAGCTCATACCAAGAGTGTAGATCAGTATGTGAGACTTTTTTTTTTTTTTAAGACCAACATGGCTCAAACACACAATCCCAAGATCAAGAGTTACACACTCTACTGATTGAGCCGGCCAGGCGTACCCATACGTGAGACTCTTAATCACAATAGGAATCACTTCCTACGTGACCATAAAGGGGATCAATGAACTACTGGGAAATAAGAAAAAGAGCCATTAGTTGTCAAACCGTGGTTACAGAGTGTCCTTAAGGATTGCCATTAGGTATGCAGAAGGCAAGAAGGGAGACAAACCAATAAATCTTTGGATGTTCAATTCTACTTCAAACAATATAGCTCCACTGTCATCTATTTAAATGTCCCCATTAACTTCTTTTCGGATATTTTATTAAAAAAAAAAAAAATTTAACGTACATCCCCTTGAGAACAGAGTTTGTATCTTCATTCAGCTATGAAGACCCGCCAGAGTGCCTTCTAGAGAGAAGAGGCTGTTTAATGATGCCCTGGGTGTAATGGTCCATATTATGGGATTCCTAGGATTCCTTGGTGATTCTGGATAAATTACCATCTTGTGGGATAATTAACTACTAGAAAAAATGTACTGAACTTCAGCATTCTTATAACTTATAAAATTATTCATAAGAACTATTCAGTCTATTCAAAGAAAGGGATTCCAATTCAAGATAATACATTTTTTTTTTTTAATGAAACCATCCCACCCACAATGGTAATGTGTCAAGAGTCAAGGAACCCAATTCTGTGCACGCATGATTCACAAAAAGAAAAAAAATTCTTAGTTAAAAAGAACTGGTGAAATAATAGAAGGAAATTAAGGACTAGAATTGCTGGAGAGGTAGTTAAGATGAAACACGGTGTGAGATATATGTAGGAATTCACATTTGGTTTACAGAACCTGTCTTGGTATTACCTCTGACCATAGTAGCTTTCAAAGAATTGTTCTTTCCATGGCTCTACTTTTTTCTCCTTCTCAATCTCTTGTCGAATTCTCACTTGCATCTCAGGTGTAAACTCACCTGTAATGTACAAAAAAAAAAAGATATTCAATAGAAATATGCTGTTTGTAACTTTTAACTATTTGTGAATCATGAAAGTCTCATGCAGGAGTCAGAATACTATCATGTGAAAGTAAGAGAAATTTCCCACAGTTCCTCACTGGAAAGGAGCCCCTGGAAGCCACTGGGGGACATACAATGCTTGCACACCACTGCATGCAGTTTCCAGTACTCAGCTGAGGCCACCTGTGCCTTTTCTCTGGGCTCTCCTGTAGCACCTCCCTCCTGTTCCAAACATCATATTCCCCACAGATTTCTTTTATCACTAACCTTGACTTTGTCATTTCTTTCCCACTGCAAAAAGAGTCACGTGGTTTCAGTAAATAATGCCACTGGGCATTTTGTTATTTTAAAGTTCTGTTTCTCTCAGGCAACTTGTTATTTTGTGCCTTTTATCTCTAACTGCATAATGAACAGCTGTGACCTGTGATCCTGCTTATAGGCAGTTGAGGTTCCAGTAAAACCATAGGGAGTTATTTGGGAGTCATCAGTTTTCTAATTGCTCCAGAAATTGTACCACTCTAGTGCCTTGCCAATAAAGTGCTCAACATGCCAATGACCGCACTGCTCTGAAAATGACATTTATTTGCATATATCACCAAGCACTTCAATCCCTCCCACTCTAACAGCAGAGGACAGCTGAATGTGCTGGGTAGGCCATCTTCAAACTGCGGCTCAGAAAGGTTGCTCTCTTTTTTACTCTAATACCCAGGACATCAAGGAAAAAGAGGTAGAAATGGTAGACTTCAAGTTTAGGTCTCTTTGGGATAAGAGGATAGGAAGGAAAAGTGTTCCAGGACACAGTCCTGGGCATAAGAGTAGGAAAAGAGGACTCTGGGGGTGCCTGGGTGGCTCAGTCGTTAAGCATCTGCCTTCGGCTCAGGTCATGATCCCAGGGTCCTGGGATCGAGCCCCGTGTCGGGCTCCCTGCTCGGCGGGAAGCCTGCTTCTCCCTCTCCCACTCCCCCTGCTTGTGTTCTCTCTCTCTCGCTGTGTCTCTCTGTCAAATAAATAAATAAAATTAAAAAAAAAAAAAAAAAAAAGGAAAAGAGGACTCTGCCTGTCAGAGTCCAACCCATAACTACTTTTTCATTGAGTTTACTGTGCACGAGAGAATGAGGAATAAAAAGTATTGAATTCTGTTCACGTGTGTACAGTGCTCAAAGTTTTTGCTGCTCATAAAATAAATGACTAGGTATAGCAGTGACTGCTTATATGAAAAAAAAAAGAAAAAGAAAGAAAAGTAACACTGATAACGACCAAGGTATCACTGATGATAATACCTATTTTAAAAAACCGGGTGGTGGGGGAACCAGGCGGGCGAGCGCCTGGGTGGCTCAGTCGTTAACAGTCCCGATTTCGGCTCAGGGCATGATCTCAGCGTCCAGAGATTAAGCCCTGCTTCCAGCTCTGCACTGGGCATGAGCCTGCTTAAGATTCTCTCTCTCCCTCTGCCCCCCACCCCCTTGCCACAGTTTGCTCTCTCTTTCTCTCAAAAACAAAAAAATGGGGAGTTGGGCGGGGCATAAAACCTTTATCAAATTACTTTTTTTTTTTTTTAAAGATTTTATTTATTTATTTGAGACAGGGAGAGCTAGAGAGCACAAGCAGGGGGAGCGGCAGGCAGGCAGAGGGAGAGGGAGAAGCAGGCTCTCCGCTGAGCAAGGAACCTGATGCAGGGCTCGATCTCAGGACCCTGGGATCATGACCTGAACCGAAGGCAGCTGCTTAACCGACTGAGCCACCCAGGCACCCCTTATCAAATTATTCTTAAAGAAAGGTAATAGTAATGCATATGTTTTAAAGTGCTTGTGTGATTGCAGCTCTTTCAGAAAAAAAAAAAAAAAGTGGTCTCTGCTCAAGGAAATCTTTGATAGGACCAGAGTAATCAGTGAGAGAGCCTTTCTATACAGAATTTGTCCCCCCAAAACAATTTAAAAAAAGCTCAAAACAATAGGAAGGCAAATGTCAACAAGTGCAGTGAACAATATAGATATTAATTAGCTGGTCAATTAACTCTAAATGCTAGTGATCTGACAAAATGTCAGCAATGAATAGCATTCGTAATTGCTCTCCTTACAAATGTATTCATTAAAAAAAAAAAACAAATGTATTCATTTTAAAGCTTTTCACAGTTGTTTTAAGCTATGCCTTGGTATAACTTCATATGACCTTTCAAGTGTTAGTTTGTATTCCATGTGTACTGAAAAACAAACATAAGCGAACACTGTAACTCTAATTCTATACTCTGCTTATTAAAATTTCAATTCCTAGGCATTAACCAAGAATCACTGAATCAAAATCTTGATCAGAATCTGATCACTGATAAAAATATTGAGGAAGAGGGCCTTAAAATCTGTATTTGTTTAGTTTCCCTAAATTGAAAGGTGACTTTGACTTCTTAAAGGAACATTGCCAGACTCCATCTGGAGCCAGACCTGGTTACATAGGCTCCAGAAAAAAGTCAGTATAGTGTTTCACACAGGATAGCTAGTTCTACCCCATGGAAGCATCTCGTCCTTAGCTCAAAAACTCACTGAGGCATAGAGGGGCCAATCTGCCCTCATAGTAGCTCCAAGTACATATACAATCTAGGAGGCACATAAGGTTGAACACTTACCTTCTGAGAGTCTTTCCTTCCAGCCTTGGGCTGCTGAAGTGAAGAACTCATTGTTAAGGGCTGAGCCATTTAACTTCATCAGACCATCTGGACCAACCTGGGTCAAAGAATAAGCCAAGAGAAGCTTACAAAGAAAGCCAAATGTGGAATTGAACTTTCTTTCGTTTTAGAGAAGAATGTATATACATTTACTTTTATAGAAACATGACTATATCATACCATGCTGCTTATTATGGATACTACTATTTTATAATATATCATTTTTTCTAATAAATTTATTTCCTGTTTACCTCTCCTCCTTCTTCTACTTTCAATTCCATTCCCCATTAATTATACTCAAAGAATCATCCGCAAACAAATAAATCTACGTGTAAGAAGTTTTTTCCTGAGAGGTTTATTATTTGTTTTATAAAACTGTGACCAAGCTCCAGACCAAGCTCTGAATCTTATTTTTCTCACATAATACATTGTGCATGTCTCTCCAAGTCAACTGGCATAGTGTTAGCTCCTTTATAATAGCTGCATATTATTTCACTGGATGCATGCACCTTAATTCATTTACCAGTTTCTTAATCATAAACATGAACCTTGTTTCTAGTGTTTTCCCACAATCAACCACACTGCAATATTAGCATTCTGGCAAAGATGAATATACTAGGGCTTTTACTTCTGTGGAATAAGTTCTAAAAGCAAAGAAATATCTGTGTCTGTAACAAGGTATTGTTAGATTATTTTCCAAAAAGACTACAACAATTCATATTTCTACCCGAAATATATGAGCATACTCTTTATCCTGTGAACAATATTTGTAAACTAAATTATTTAATTTTTGCCAGTCTAAAGGGTTTGAAATGTAAAAATTTCCTTTATCTTGACTATTGGAGTTCTGTTCAACTTTTTGCATGTTTATTAAATATTCAGATTTATCACCTTGTGAAATTCTTATCATTTTGCATATTTTTCTATAAGGCTGCTTATTTTTATTATCAATTTGTGAGAATCCTTTACATACTATTCATAGTAAAACTGTAACATACACTAAAAAATTTCCCCTAATTTATCTGCCCACTGACTTGATTTGTGATGTCTTGCCAAAAGGTTTTAAGATTCTATTAGAGATTCTGATTTCCTATCTTGGTTTAGAACCATAAATCTTATATAAGGACATAAAACACAAGATCTGAAAAAAATTTAGACAGAAAAGCTTAATAAAATTGACATTCTCCCCATAGTTACCATCTACATTCCAACCAGAACCCCATGCAGATTTTTCATTAACAAAACAATTTTGTATTTTTTTAACAAAATGATTTTACAGTTCATAAGGAAAAAATAAGAAAAATCGCCTTTCCAATTATTAAACATATCACATCCAAAGCCACTGCAGTCAAAACAATTATTACTAACATTAGAAGGAATGAAGAAATGAGTGGAAAAGTGGAGGGTACGTATAAACACATACTGCATGTAAGTGCACAGAATATATAACGAAGATCGTATTTCAAATTGTGAGAAAAAGATGGTTATATTAAATATGTAGTGGTGAAACAACCGGTTATCTATTATTAAGGAGAAAATAAAGTTGAAGCCCAATTTCAGAGCAATACAAAAAAAAATTCTAGGTGTATTAAAAACTTAAATGTAACCTTTAAGTCAAAAACAATTTTCTGAAGAAAATTTAAGTAACTACTGGGACATCCTAGGGATTGAGGAACGCTTCTCAACCAACTTCACTTTCTACATCTATCTGGGCCCACGTTACCTGCCCCCCCCCCCCCCCAGCTCTAGGGCAGAAATTGGTGAACTATTTCTGCCAAAGGAGAGATTGCAATTATTTTAGGCTTTGAAGGCCACAGGGACTCTGTGGCAACTACATCTAATGCTGCCATGGCCGCACGAACATAGCTGTATACCATATGTAAGCCAATGAAGGTGGAAATATGTCGATAAAGCTTTATTTACAAAAACAGGCAAGGGGCGCCTGGGTGGCTCAGTTGGTTAAGCGACTGCCTTCGGCTCAGGTCACGATCCTGGAGTCCCTGGATCGAGTCCCGCATCGGGCTCCCTGCTCGGCAGGGAGTCTGCTTCTCCCTCTGACCCTCCCCCCTCTCATGTGCTCTCTCACAAATAAATAAATAAAATCTTTAAAAAAAAAAAAAACAGGCAAGTGGGCTGAAACTGGCCCAAGTTTGCTGACTGCCGATTTGTACTCTAGAGAGTTGGCAGAGGGTAATGGTCTTCCCTATCAGAACAGGTCATCCAACCTAAGCTTGAATAGTCCAGTGACAAGTAAGTTACTCCATCACAAGTCAATCCACTTTAACAGCTGTAGCTGTTAAAAAAAAAAAAAAAGGTTATTTTAACTTCACATCTGCTTTCTGGAGAAACAAAAAAGTTTATCTCTTTCAAATGATAGACCTTTAAATATATCTAGAGAGATGCTTTAATCCACTCCCCTCCTGTTTTCTTTTCTTTGGTCTAAATTATTTTTACTTCATGGCTGGGCAATCCATACAATGAAATACGGTTTTCAATGTTTCGTCCTAGTAATAACCAAGATTCTATATAAACACTCTAAATTGCATCTGACAGAAAAGTTGATTCAAGCTCCATACTTCTATACGTTAAGGACATTATTTCTCAGGTTACTGTGTTCTTACCGTACTCAAAAAAGGCCAAGTAACTTCCTATTAAGAATTCTCCACACAACTGTACTCCATGGGAAATTGAACAGATAACTTACAAGGTCCCTTTTCATTCTAAAATTTTATGTGGCAATCCTTCTCCAGAGAGAGGATAAGGGCCATTAGTCAAAAGACAGTTCTAAGAAACCTGCACTAGAGTTCTAGAGATAGGCCTTCAGTTAGGTCCTATCTTATTCTCAACCTAATAACCTGAGCTGTTAAAAAAGACGAGAGCAATCCCCAATGAGAAGTTCTTTAAAAACTCTGCAGAAACATTAGCTTCCTAACTTGTTCGAACCAAAAGGTGGGCATCCCCAAAACTGTAATTTCCCCAAGAAGTTTTAAGAAGGGAAAAGCAGTAGTGGGGAAGGATCAGCTTTACTTACTTCTTTGCCCTATGGCTGGTAGCGTACCTGACTTACTTCTGGAAATGGAATCTGGCCTGCTTTCCCATGTGCTAATTTACATCATTATGCGATTGAAACTAGTATCAATACAGTTTAATAGATAATTTTCAGAATTAGAAATATTTTGTTTTGACACAATTAGCTAGGATGATGTGTAACTTACTTACTCTCCTTTAATCTCTTACCACAAACCAGGGTATAAATCTAGTTTTCTTACTGTAAACTAGGGAAAATACCTCTCATCTTGTTTTTATAATGATTAGGAAAAAAGGGGAGGGCTATCAGATTACTTAAGAACACAGTATGTGTTTGGAAATAATAATGAATAAAAAACCCCTCAGAATTGAATAAACCTTAAAAATCATAATGGTCCTATCTTCCTTTTGTAGAGGAGGAAAGAGATGATCAGAAGGGGGAGTGACTTGTTAGTCACTCTTTCCTGGATAAAAGCCTAAGTCTCAGATCTTGACCTTATTCCTGACCAACCAAAATCTCTCCGGTCCCTACCTAGACTTTCCCAAACTTTTGGAATTTCTTCTAGCTATCTTTTTTTTAAGAGTGTAATTTATTGGGTTTTTAAAGTTCTTTATTATGAAAACAATAAATGTTTTGTTTTTAAAAATCTCACAAAAGGGGTGCCTGGGTGGCTCAGTCGTTAAGCGACTGCTGCCTTCGGCTCAGGTCATGATCCCAGGGCCCTGGGATCGAGCCCACATTGGGCTCCTTGCTCGGCAGGAAGCCTGCTACTCCCTCTCCCACTCCCCCTGCTTGTGTTCCTGCTCTCGCTATCTCTCTCTCTGTCAAATAAATAAATAAAATCTTAAAAAAAAAAAATCTAACAAAAGAATGAAAATAATTAACATTCATTCTCCCTTCAAAAAATCCATTAGGGCGCCTGGGTGGCTCAGTTGGTTAAGCGACTGCCTTCGGCTCAGGTGATGATCCTGGAGTCCCGGGATCGAGTCCCGCATCGGGCTCCCTGCTCGGCAGGGAGTCTGCTTCTCCCTCTGACCCTCCTCCCTCTCATGCTCTCTGTCTCTCATTCTCTCTGTCTCAAATAAATAAATAAAATCTTAAAAAAAAAAAAAATGTTTAAAAAAAAATTCCATTAAAAAATCCCTGTTAAATATCTTAAACAAGACAACTCTTCCTCCTGGACTGTATTCAATGAATACCTTACCTCCTAATATGATAGCTACACAAATTTTATTCCATAATCTTGATATTCTGATAAGAGTTTTTTTCTTTTCTAAGACTTACAGGGCAAAACTATTAAGAACACTTACATAAAAATATTCTTATTTCTTGTCTTAGTACCTTTGATACCACTTCTTTACAAGTATATATAAAAAGCTATTTAAAAAGTTTTAAGGAGTGTTAAAGGGGATGAGTGAAGAAAGCCTCAGAAGGTTTTTAAAAAACTGCTTATGCTTGAAAATAACGCACCTGTCGATCCACCTCTGGAAGGAGTAAAAGCAGTCGCTGTTGGCAATCTCCAGGAAGGACTGAAAAGGTGTGCTTGTTGATCAGTGCTCGTAGATTTGTATTAACCAGAATGGAGTCTGGTGTCTCAACATCAATTTCAGCACATTTAGTCCTTTTCATTTGCCCTACAAAAATAGGGGAAAAGAATCATTTGGGCCTCCTTTACATTCTTGCTTCTATCTAAAGTATAGCTTACTCTACAGTGCAAAAAAAAGCACAGTTGTAACTACTTTAAATATCAGACTGTGAAGAAGGGAACACCTACCTAAAGGTTTTAGAAATTTCTTCGAAGACTAATAAAAGCAAGGCATGACACATACACAAAATGATCCAAAAAATCCAGAAAAATTCAAATCTCTATATATATCATACTGAGATCCTCTTTCCTTTGCCACCAAAACTTTCTCATTAATTTTAGTTTTGATTACCTAAAACTGTTGGAACTGAACACCTTAGTGGATTCAAGAATTAGTCACAATCTATAGTCTTGCAAATGACTGACAACCTTGAGTACACAGTCTTCAAATGTAAATAACAAAAAATATTATAAACAAGACTAACTTGCCAAAAATATTTGCAAATCATGACAAAACTGCACGATTTTTCATATTAAAAGTGCATCTAGGGGCGCCTAGGTGGCTTAGTCGGTTAAGCGACTGCGTTCAGCTCAAGTCATGACCTCAAGGTCCTGAGATAGAGCCGCGCATGGGCTTCCTGCTCAGCGGGGATTCTGCTTCTCCTTCTCCCTCTGTGCCTCCATACCCTCCCCACCGCTTGTGCACTCTCTCTCTCTCAAATAAAACCTTCTAAAATAAATAAATGTGCATCTCTATGGGGTGCCTGGCTGACTCAGTTGGTAGAACATGCGACTCTTTTTTTTTAAAAGATTTATTTATTTGACAGAGAGAGACACAGCAAGAGAGGGAACACAAGCAGGGGGAGTGGGGGAGGGAGAAGCAGGCTTCCTGCGGAGCAGGGAGCCCGATGCGGGGCTCGATCCCAGGACCCTGGGACCATGACCTGAGCCAAAGGCAGTCGCTTAACCAACTGAGCCACCCAGGCGCCCGGTAGAACATGCGACTCTTGATCTCAGGGTCATGAGTTCAAGCCCCATACTGAGAGTAGAGCTTACTTTAAATTAATAAACAGATCGGTAGATAGATATTTTTTAAAAATTTTAAGTGCATCTATAAGTCAATATGAAAAAGAAGTATCACCATGAGAAAAATGAGCACAGGGAATTATAGGTAATTCACAGCTGACTAACCATAAGCAGATGCTACGGTATTAGTATTTTTTAAATGCCAGTTAAACCAATGAACATTTTTTTGTCTATCAAAATGGCAAATACTGCAGTACAGTGATGAGACTACACATAGAAAAAGCAAAGACAACTGTCAAATACTGCTGATGGGTCTCAAATTAATATAATCTTACTGGAAGAAAATTTGATAACATACTGCAAAATTTAATGTGCATAAGAATCTAAGACCCAGAAATCTTACAGTTAGAAATACATGCACAAAGCTACACATCTTGAATATGGATAACCTCTGTTCCTGGCTGAAGGTGAAGCAAAAGTAATCTCTCTTAAGAGGAAAGGAATTCCCTTAAGTTAGGCCCATAGGATTCCTCCAAATTAAAATCCAGCACTATCTCACAGACTACCCTGACAAACCAGCAGACATGCTACTATGACAGAGTCAATAGAAACCAAAAATAAAAGGTTTAGACCTAAAAGTACTACTATCACTGAAACTGTCACAGATAAAATACAGAACAGCGCTGCATAAAATGATTAAAGAATGTGATTGTAAAGATGGGGATAAAATAATCAGGTCTCAGTAAATTTCATATAATGATCAATAATAGCAGCAGCAAACATTTCTATAAGGCTTCATTAGTGCCAGGCACTATTCTAAACATTGACATGTGTTAATTCACTTATTTTTCAAATAACCCTATGAAGTAGGACACTATTATTGTACATTTCACAGATGAAGAAAATGAGGCCCAGACTTGGTAAGAAACTGGCCCAAAATTGTACTATTAAGTTACAGTGCAGGAATTCAAACCCAGAGCTGTGGCTTCAGAGTCCGTTATCACTATATAGAGCTATAGGCAGAGCTATCATAAAGTGCATGATCTCTATTAGGTATTTAAAAGTTCAAAACAGAAACATAAAATATATATATTTTTTCTAAAGACCTTATTTTTAATTAATCTCTACACCCACTGGGGGGCTTGAAGCCCCAACCATGAAATCAAGAATCACATGTTCTACACACTGATCCAGCCAGGTGCCCCCAAATCCCAATATGTATCTTTAAATTTTTTATTTAAATTCAATTTAATTAACCTATACTGTATCATTAGTTTTAGAGGCAGAATTTAGTAATTCATCAGTTGCCTACAACACCCAAAGCTCATTAAATCAAGTGCCCTCCTTAATGCCCATCACGCAATTACCTCCCCTCCAGCAACCCTCAGTTTGTTTCCTAGAGTTAAGAGTCTCTTATGGTTTGCCTCCCTCTCTGTTTTCGTCTTATTTTTCCTTCCCTTCCCCTATGTTCATCTGTTTTGTTTCTTAAATTCCACATATGAGTGAAATCTTATGGTATTTGTCTTTCTCTGACTGACTTATTTCATTTAGCATAATACCCTCTAGTTCCACCCACATCGTTGCAAATGGCAAGATTTCATTCTTTTTGATGGGAAAGTAATATTCCATTGTATATATACACCACTTCTTTATCCATTCATCTGTCGATGGACATCTGGGCTCTTAACATAGTTTGGCTATTGTGGACACCGCTGCTATAAACACTGGGTGCATGTGCCCCCTTCGAATCACTATGTTTGTATCCTTTGGGTAAATACCTAGCAGTGCAGTTTCTGGGTCATAGGGTAGCTTTACTTTTAACTTTCTGAGGAACCTCCATACTGTTTTCCAGAATGGCTGCACCAGTTTGCTTTTCCACCAACAGTGCAAGAGTGTTCCCCTTTCTCCCCATCCTTGCCAACATCTGTTGTTTCCTGAGTTGTTCCTTTTAGCCATTCTGACAGGTGTGAGGTGGTATCTCATTGTGCTTTTGATTTGTATTTCCCTGATACCGAGTGATATTAAGCAATTTTTTTCATGTGTCTGTTGGCCATCTGTAGGTCTTCTGCCCACTTCTTGACTGGATTTTTTTGGTTTTCTTGGGTGTTGACTTTGGTAAGTTCTTTATAGAATTTTGGATACTAGACCTTTATCTGATAAGACATTTGCAAATATCTTTTCCCATTCCATAGGTTGCCTTTTAGTTTTGTCGACGGCTTCCTTTACCATGCAAAACCTTTTATCTTGATGAAGTCCCAATAGTTCATTTTTGCTTTTGTTTCTCTTGCCTTTTGAGACGTGTCTAGCAAGAAGCTGCTGCAGCCGAGGTTAAAGAGGTTGCTGCCTGTGATCTCTAGGATTTTGATGGATTCAGATTCCTGTCTCACATTCAGGTCTTTCAACCATTTTGAGTTTACTTTTGTGTATGGTGTAAGAAAGTGGTCCAGTTTCATTCTTCTGCATATACCTGTCAAATTTTCCCAAAAATTCCTATATATTTTAAGAAAATTTTTAAGACTTCAAAGTAACTCCTGGGATAAAGAAAAAATCACAATAAAATATTTTAAAACTTCTCAAATTGAATTATTATTTTTTAAGATTTATATATTTGACAGAGAGATAGCAAGAGAGGGAACACAAGCAGGAGGACGGGCAGAGGGAGAGGGAGAAGGAGGCTCCCCGCTGAGCAAGGAGCCCGACGTGGGGTTCAATCCCAGGACCCTGGGATCATGACCTGAGCTGAAGGCAGACCCTTAACGACTGAGCCACCAAGGCACCCCCAATTGAATGATATTAAAAAAGCATTTGAGAGATGAAGGTAAATGTCCCCAAAACTGAAATAGTACCAAAATATATAAAATGAAAAGTAAAGGTTTCAACATTCAAACCCTGGTTTCCTACCAAAGATGACATTTTGGGGCACCTGGGTGGCTCAGTCGTTAAGCATCTGCCTTCAGCTCAGGTCATGATCCCAGGGTCCTGGGAGCAAGCCCCGCATCGGCCTCCCCGCTCCGCGAGAAGCCTGCTTCTCCCTCTCCCACTCCCCCTGCTTGTGTTCCCTCTCTCGCTGTATCTATCTCTGTCAAATGAATAAATAAAATCTTTAAAAAAAAATGACATTTTTAATTTGAATAAATGAAATAACAATATACATGCCAATTGTATTTTGTCTTTTGTTTCACTGAGTATCTTGAACTACTTTCCAAACTATCACCTACAAAGCTACCTCTTTCTTTTTAAAAAGCTGTACCATGGGGAGCTTGGCTGGCTCAGTCGTTAAGCGTCTGCCTTCGGCTCAGGTCATGATCCCAGGGTCCTGGGATCGAGACCCACATCAGGCTCCCTGCTCATTGGGAAGCCTGCTTCTCCCTCTCCCACTCCCCCTGCTTGTGTTCCCTCTCTCTCTCTGTCAAATAAATAAATAAAATCTTCAAAAAAAATAAAAAATAAAAAGCTGTACCTTATTCCAACATATGTACCATGATTCATTTAATCAGACACCCCGCCGTAAGTGGTTACTATGTTTTGGTTTGCATAAACAATGTTGCAATGGCTCCAGGGACTGCGAGCAGCATCATAGTTCTGCTCTCCCATATGACTGATGAAACGATAGTGTCAGCATTCCCTGAATAGTTTTCACTATTTGTGCATTCATTTTGTACCTTTACATTGGAGTCAAACTTCAGTTAAAATTTTAAAAAAATAAATTTTTTTAAAGTAAGCTCTACGCCCAGTGTGGTGCTTGAACTCATGATCCGGAGATCAAGAGTTGCACGCTCCACCAACTGAGCCAGCCAGGTGCCCCATTAAAATTTTAACTTAACTCCGTAAGAGAGACCGAGAAATAGTTGTGAATTATTCTGATCTATTATTGATCAAATAGTGACAGAGGATATTTTTATGTGCCTCACACAAACTGGTTCATTTCTAGAATTTAAAGTTTAAGTCCTCTAATTTTGGTAAAGTTGACTTTGTTTTATTTATTTTTATTTATTTATTTTATTTTGGGGGGTTTTTTTGTTTTATTTATTTTATTTGTTTTTATTTTTATTTTTTATTTTATATTTTTGTTTTATTTATTTAATTTGTTTTATTTTTCCCACTTTAGGTATTCTATCATATTATACTTAAAATCTGAGCTATGTTCTTTTTTTAATTGAATCTGGGATGTAAAACTGTATGATACACCCTATTTTACTACAGTTAAAACAAATTATACCAATGTAAACTAAAAAAGATTTCAGGTGAATTATCTAATTTAGTTTTACATTTGTTTTACACAAAATGTACAGATTCTTCCACACATTTAAAAAATACTCATTGTGAGGGCGCCTGGATTGCTCAGTTAAGCATCCAACTCATGATTTTGGCTTAGGTCATGATCTCAAGGATTGTGGGATCAAGCCCTGATTTGGGCTCTGAGCTCAGTGGAGAGTCGGCTTGAGATTCTCTCTCTCTTCCTCTGCCCCTCCTCCTCGCACGGGCACGTGCTCCCTCCCTCCCTCTCTGAAATAAATAAATATTTTTAAGAATATATAAATAAATAAATAAATAAAATTTAAAAAAGAATTCTTGGGAGTCTGGGAGCGCCTGGCTGGCTCAGTCAGTGGAGCATGCAACTCTAAATCTTGGGGTCGTGCGTTCAAGCACATGTTGGGTGTAGAGATTGCTTAAAAATAAAAATCTTTAAAAAAAAAAAAGGAAAGGAGGGCGCCTGGGTGGCTCAGTTGGTTAAGTGACTGCCTTTGGCTCAGGTCATGATCCTGGAGTCCCAGGATCGAGTCCCGCATCGGGCTCCCTGCTTGGCAGGGAGTCTGCTTCTCCCTCTGACCCTCCTCCCTCTCATGCTCTCTGTCTCTCATTCTCTCTCTCTCAAATAAATAAATAAAATCTTTAAAAAAAAAAAAAGAAAGGAAAGGAAAGGAAAAAGAATTCTTGAAATCCAACACTTGCCTTTCTGGGATTGATTTAAATTTTAATTACAGTGCTTTTTGGAAAATTATGCTACATGATGGAGATGTAGAAGCATTTCCAGTCCTGCAGGAGCTGTGGCTCAGATGTCCTGGCACCTGCAGAGAGCAGAACCTATCTAATTTGTTCCTGCTACCCAAGAAGACGCTTAAGTGAGTTGTAAGGCAGGAGGGGAAATGATTTAAAGATTACCAGGCACAATATAAGCAATAAAATGTAAAAACCTAATCTACAAGTTGCTGGGGGTGCCAGCTTCTTTGCCTTATTGTCCTCCTTGTGCATTTTTCTTAGAGGCAATATCTGCCATAAACTGAGCATACCCTTTGATCATCAATTCCACTGCCCAAGGTTAAAAATATTCATAAATCACATAAACACTTATAAAAGATATACTAATATGCCAAACCCAGAGCTCGATTCTCATGACACTGAGGATCATGACCTGAGCTGAAATCGAGAGTCAGATGCTTAACTTGACTGAGCCACCAGGCAGCTATCTTACTTACTTTTTAATAAATAATTTTGTAAAATCAAAAAACAAAAAAATAAAGCAGTCTGAAAATATTATTAATTCTGTTCTCACACTTAATAGTTTGGAAGTGTCTGGAACATATAAATGGGTACAGAATAACTAATCCTTGGGGCACCTGGGTGGCTCAGTCATTAAGCGTCTGCCCTCGGCTCAGGTCATGATCCCAGGGTCCTGGGATTGAGTCCCACATTCGGCTCCTTCCTCAGGGAGGAGCCTGCTTCTCCCTCTGCTTGCCATGCTTCCTGCTTGTGCTCTCTCTCTGTCAAATAAATAAATAAAATCTTAAAAAAAAAGTTGTAAGAATTGGGATGGTAAACATCTCAGCAGCAGAATAGAAGTTAAAAGATGTGCAGCAATGCTGACAAAATTCAAAAGATTTTTAAAATTTTTTTTTTAATTTTTTAAAGATTTTATTTATTTATTTGACAGAGAGAGAGAGACAGCGAGAGAGGGAACACAAGCAGGGGGAGTGGGAGAGGGAACACAAGCAGGGGGAGTGGGAGAGGGAGAAGCAGGCTTCCTGCCGAGCGGGGAGCCTGATGTGGGGCTCGATCCCAGAACCCTGGGACCATGACCTGAGCCGAAGGCAGACGCTTAACGACTGAGCCACCCAGGCACCCCAAGGCTACTCAATTTCTTTAGGCACCAACCCACCCATCTCCTGCTGGAACATAGGTGGGGCTGGGAGGAAGGAAGTTGTGGTGACAGAAATATGCCTTTCTACTAGCATTCTGGAAGTCAAGAAGAAGGATCACTATTAGTATTTATATTTTTCTTGATTTCCCTGATTTCAGTACACTGCCTCATTATCTGCCATCAGCCATAAGTGGTATCTCTGAGTTTGAAGTCCGTACGTAATTTCACCTCAAAAATAAACCACCTATTTCTTGCTAGAGTGAGGCATCAAACTGCTTCTTATTAACTTCCAAAAAAAGTTCTTCTTTTCAACCCTAGGCTTCACCCTTCCCCACTACGATACATGATGTCTGCTATTCTTGATTCTTTCTGGTGTTCTGCAGCCCTAGCTGGCTTGCTTATTATTGGCATCTGTTGCTCAGCATCCAGTTTTCATCAAAATTTCTTGACACTGCTTGCCCATCTGTTGTCTTCCTTGTTTTCTTCACCCTTATGGATCTAATCCTTTGGATTTCCATATTCCCACCTTAGTGGGATTTCAGAGGGAGCAGGAAAAAAGGGTCAGTTTGGCATGTTTCATTATGAGTCCTTTTACTTTTCCGTACACAGAAATAAGACATAAATAATGCTGGACAAAACAACCTATTGTCAGAAAAAGAACGAAACCACAAAACAGCTGATGAATTTCAAACACAGAGTTGACAAATTAAGATGCAGAACCAAAGTCTTTGTAAATTAACTTACTTGTGTGGAGCCTGTCAGACCTCTGGAATGACTTCTTCCCCAAGCCCAGCAAGGGATTTTCCACTTGAACTGAACAAGAATAACTAGAGTTTGAGTTTTGAGGGCTGCTTGACTGCCCATCAGATGGCTTTCCTTCCCATATTGCTAAGAGAAAAAATATATCAAAGACTGGTGACACTGAGGTTATAGATAGAAATCAATCAATTAAATCATTCAACACAAACTAAAAGGAGTTACGTATGATGCAATGTGACCCTGCAAATGCGTTTTGAGTCTGCAAATTCAGAGTTAAAAAGTAAAATAAAATCACTTCCTTCTCCCCAGCACATTATTTGCTTCTGGTGGTAAATTTCCTTCCTAACAAAAATGCAAAGTTCTGCAAGATACCATTTAAATTTGGCAGGCCTATATAATCAGCTAGTATCAAAATGAATTGTGTGATAAAATACAAAGCCTGTTTCTAATCTGGGTTAGATGAAAAACAAAACAAAACAAACAACAACATCAAAAATCCAAAGGCTGTGTTTATATCCAATGGAAACTCAAATGTAGCCTATGTTCTTAGGAAAACTTATCTTTACAGGAGAGAACTGGTGAAGAGTTTAGTCTGAGTGTCTTGACAACATCAGCTTTGTAAGGTCACTGATTAGAGGCGTCCAAATATTACTAGGTTAGACATCTTGAAAGTCAGTCATTGATTCCATTCTAACATGCAAATCTCGCCGATTTATTTTTTCACAACTATGTGATGGATGATTCTGCATAAATTTTCCCATTTATCCTGAAAAGATTTATACTGATGATCTGGCAGTAATAGACTACGTAAATAAACCCAGTAATTACAAAATAAATGATAAGGTATACAAATTAGAAAAACAGCATAAAAATTCTGGAAAAAGAAATTTCCATTGAAAAGACCCCAAGTCTGCCTACCAGGTTTGGCAGGTAGAGAGTCACTGGTTGCTTTGACAGTCTTCAGAGAGAGAGGCTGGTTGGAGGAGATGGACATGCTCGGCCTGCACTGCTGTTGCTGCTTCTTCTGCTGTTGCTGTTTTAGAGCCTATAAAAAGCAAACTGACTATAAGCAACAAAATAACATCATTTTTTAGTAATTAATAACAGGAAGTGAATGACCGCTTTTTAAGTGGTGAGAAGCATGATGACCATCCCATTTCTTTGAAAGCTATCAAAGTAAACAAAAATTTAATTGAAACCAATTAAATACAAGGCCAAAATGATACTTAAGAGTCTACATATTTTTGGGCAGTATTACTCTTGTGTATAGATGTGAGAATCAGTCACAAACATTTTTAGAACTTAAAAATCACCAGTAAGGCATGGACTTCCCATACTTGTAGCAGCAGAAACTTAGAGGTTTCTAATCATTTCTGGAAATAAAATTCTAAGCCCTTGACCAAACAGAGTCCCATTTGCATTGGCTCTATGTAGAAATATAAATATTTAGCTTACGTCTATTTCAGAGATGATACATTTGAACAATTGGTGTTAAATAACTATTTGATTCTGATCTCCTATAAGAGCAGTAAGATTTGGCCCAATGACCAAATCCTCAGTAATTTACAGCAACACAATAAATAGAAGGGAAAGAAAGTTACAAAACACTGGTTCTAAGAATAGTATAATTTCTTCTGGCTATTTCAGCATATTTTTATTTCTATAATGTTTCTAGTTCATAGAATACACTAAACTATTTAGAATGAATAAGATGACAACTTCCCAGAGTTTAGTCATGAAAATATATGAAGGCACCTTTTTCTTTTTTTAAGATTTTATTTATTTATTTGACAGAGAGAGAGAGAGAGAGTGGCAGGCAGAGGGAGAGGGAGAAGCAGGCTTCCCACTGAGCAGGGAGCCCAATGTGGGGCTCAATCCCAGGACGCTAGGACCATGACTTGAGCCCAAGGCAGCCGCTTAACCGACTGAACCACAGGGGCGCCCCTGAAGGCAACTTTTTAACTCAAGGTTTAAAAAAAAAAAAGACACAGAAACTAAGAAAGTAAAACTACATTTCAGGAGAAGGCTGGACATCTATGACCTTGCTAAATTGCCAATTTAAGCTTTAACCATCAAGACTATCATGCAAAAAAGTGTGAAATAACTGGCTACTTGGTTCCCATTGCCTCTTCACCCTCATCTCTGGCTATGTTATATAGACACGGTGCAACAACTAATCTTGACCTAAGCTACCAAAGGAAAGAATGAACTGAGTGAGTCAGGGACCTAACTTACATTCACCTACAACATTTTTAACAGCCAAGGCAGGAGCACAATGTATAAAAAACTGTCAGTGTTGTCTGATCACTGATACAGCTTATCTCTCATTCTCTGCAATCAGAACATAAAATCCTGGGTGGCAGCCACTGGGTCTTTCCTTGTCACAATATCCAGATCATTCTAGGTTAATCCAAAATTTAATAGAACCATTTGCTCTCATCTATTCCTGCTGTGATGGTGTAAATTCAGACACATGATAGAAACAGAGTAACTTATAGCCTCTCTATTTAAGAACTGTACTCAGTTTTTTCCTCCCTCAGTAGTTTATGAACTCTGTTCCTAATTCTATTTTAAAATAAAAAAAAACAACAACAACCTTCATTGTTGTAAAGGATAACTTATATTGAAGTAATTTTTCTCACCTAACACTATAAAAAACATACATTGGAGGCAAGGTCTTACTTTACATACCAACAACCTAACTTACATACTTTTTCATACTGGTATTCTTTAAAGAAAATACATTCAACTCTTGGGATTATAGGAGTATAATACAGGAGTAGTAAACATGTCATGCATTATCTAACAAAGTTTAGGAAAATACATGCCTTTTTCCTGTGGAAGGAAGCATCTTATACTTCTTAAAATCTTTCAAAAAATTTATAAAAATACAACTGCTATGAGATTATCCAGGCACACAGCAATAAATCCTATCAAATTTCTGAAACTCTTTTAATAAAAGTGCTTTTGCTTTAAATACTTCTTTTAATACGTTAAGGCCTAAATAACTTTTAAAATTTCAATTACATAATACATGATTATATCTTTACCATTTAATTCAAACATAAAGTTAAACTCTCTTGACCACCACTCAGTCTTGCCCCTAATCTTCAGAGATAACTACAGTCAATTTATTTTTCTTTATTGAGTTTTTTTTTACGTGTTTCTATTAAAAATATAATATTGTGGGGCGCCTGGGTGGCTCAGTCGTTAAGCGTCTGCCTTTGGTTCAGGTCATGATCCCAGGGTCCTGGGATCGAGCCCCGCATTGGGAAGCCTGCTTCTCCCTCTCCCACTCCCCCTGCTTGTGTTCCCTCTCTCACAGTCTCTCTCTCTCTCTGTCAAATAAATAAATAAAATCTTTAAATATATATGTGTATATATATAATATTGTTTTGTAGGTATGGGTTTATTTTTGTCAATGGTATCACGCTCTACATGTTGTAATACAACTTAATTTTAGGGATTCAACATTATACTGTGGTGATGCTTCCAGGTCAATATACATAAAACAAACACATTACAAACTTCTAATCTTGCATATACAAATGGCATCATTTACGAAGGAATCCCTTAATTGATATATATTTGGTTACTTGCAAGTTTTTGCTATTACAAACTTGAATGCAAATATTTTTCTGTGTGTGTGTGTGTAACTGGTATGGATATTTGTATTTCTCTATCCTAAGTTCCAAAATGTTCAAATGCTTAGTCATGGGGTATGTGCCTTCACAATTTTAATAATCACAAGATTTCTTTCCAAAGTACAATAATTTATATTCCACCAGCAAACTACCAGTAGCCACACACTTGCCAATGCCTGATAATTAAGTTCTTCAGTTTATACTAATCTGAGGAAAAAAGTAGTCTGTAATGTTCAGTTATTAGTGAATCTGTATTTATTGACCATTTGCATTTCAAAAAAAAAAGTTCTTTGAAAAGCCCAATAACACAGACCAATGGCAAGTAGCACTGGGGACATTATAAGTGAACAACACTGAGGAACAAAAAAGAAACATAAAGGAATGCTACTACAACTTCATGCAAATATTTTTAAAAATCATAAATGAAATGGACCATTTTCTAAGAGAAATAAATATCCAAAATTAAGAAAAAGATTTTTTCTAAAATTAGTTCAAAAAGCAGGAATCAAATCAGATCAGTAACAGATGAAACTGACGTGCTAAGAAAACAATTCTATAATTGTTTTCCAAAAATCTAGAAAAATGCAGAGAGCTACTCAACTTATTTTATAATGCTAGAACCATCCTGATTCCAAAATTGTACAAGAATTGTAAAAGAAAACAGCAAAATCCAAGCAGAAATCTTAAAAAAGAAAAATCCAGGGCGCCTGGGTGGCTCAGTTGGTTAAGCAACTGCCTTCGGCTCAGGTCATGATCCTGGAGTCCCAGGATCGAGTCTCGCATCGGGCTCCCTGCTCAGTGGGGAGTCTGCTTCTCCCTCTGACCCTCCCCCCTCTCATGTGCTCTCTCTCTCTCTCATTCTCTCTCTCAAACAGATAAATAAAATCTTTAAAAGAAAAAAAAGAAAAATCCATAACATATTAAAAAATATGGAACAAACATGTAGAGTTTATTCCCGAAAGCTAAGTATATGTTAACATTAGAAAATCTAGCCATGGGGGCGCCTGGGTGGCTCAGTTGTTAAGCGTCTGCCTTTGGCTCGGGCCATGATCTCAGGGTCCTGGGATCAAGCCCCGCATCGGGCTCCCTGCTCAGCGGGAAGCCTGCTTCTCCCTCTCCCACTCCCCCTGCTTGTGTTCCCTCTCTCGCTCTATCTCTCTCTGTCAAATAAATAAAATCTTTAAAAAAAAAAAAAAAAAATCTAGCCATGGAAGTCTGTATATTAGCAAATTTAAAGAGAAAAGCTACCTGATCATCTCCATAAATGCTGAAGAAAACAAAGCCAAAAAGTTCAATACCTATTCATAATTTAACCACAAACATGTACACAAACAAAAACCGCTTAGCAAATTAGGAATAAAGAGCTTTTAAAATGTGATAAAAAGGGGTGCCTGGGTGGCTCAGTCATTAAGGGTCTGCCTTCAGCTCAGGTCATGATCCCAGGGTCCTGGGATCAAGCCCCGCATCGGGCTCCCTGCTCCACAGGAAGCCTGCTTCTCCTTCTCCCACTCCCCCTGCTTGTGTTCCGTCTCTCGCTGTCTCTCTCTGTCAAGTAAATAAACAAAATCTTAAAAAAAAAAAAAAGATAAAAAGACTAGCTACCACAAACCTATAGCACACAAGTACATAAATTATTAAATCCAAAGTGGGAAACTGCATGAAATTTTTCCTTAAAAGGACCTAATGCCCTTTTAAGAAATTTTCAATGACTTCTAGAATCATGAATTTTTAATGTAGGAGGTAAGACTTGGTAAACACAGACTAGCATGATTACCTGCTTTAGTGCCTTCTTGCTGTGCTTCTGTGATGGAGAAATGACTTTACCTGCTGGAATGGTAGGTGATGGGCAGCCTGACTGGGGAGAAGATGGCTGTGACAGTCTAGACGATACTAGTGGGGAGAAAAATGACAATAAATAATGTGGTTATCAGAGTTGATATCAAGCACCATTCCTTCCCCAATCATATGCTGCTACCTGTATTAAGAACTGTGACCAAACACTTTTGGGAAGGATCTTCTTTTTGGAGTTCTACTGCAAACAGCCTCCCTTTTCAGTTTATTTCCTCAGAAAGCTCTAGTGAAGGATGATAGGATGGGGAAGGGATGGGAGTTAGTATTCATTACTTTTCATTCTTTGATTTTTCAATAGATTGATTGAAACAGGAAGCAGAATATAAACCATGAGTCATCAAATTCGATAAAACTTAGAGAAGATTCTAGAGCCTGTTGGATAGCATGTATGTTCTTAAGGTAAATCTAATGACAACATGATACAGTGAAAGAGCCCTGGGCTGACAGGGGTCCCAGTTTTCCCTATCTTTAAAATGAAGGCAATAAGGCCACTCCACCTCAAAAACTCTACTATAGCTTTAATTCTTAATATTACTTCATCTCTTAAATCAAGTTTCAGGCCTACCAGTGTGAGAGGGTGCTTTAGGATTTCTCTCATGGAAGCAATGTACATTTGCACGGGGTGAAATTTCTCTCTACTTCATCACTACTTGTTTTATACCTCATCAGAGCTTGGCCAAACCTTAGTCTTATATGAATAACGGTTTTCCCTTCAGGAGCCTATTATACTAAAATAGCAATTAGATTTTTATATTCTGTAAAGTTCAGCAGTGCATTACTCATGATAAGAGATAACAAAGAAAATGCTGAATCAGACCCCTATAACAAAAATAATAAAATAGTAATCGCTGCTGCTAGTGATGACTCTGGAAGAGTACATGCTTACTAACACCTTCTCCTTCCATAGTAATTGGACCAAAAAGGCCCGGAGAGCAAAATGGGATTTCATGGTATGGCTAAAGAGCTTGAATATACCATATAAAGTACGTTGGTGGGTAGCTACCTGACATAAAAATGCAGAAGCATGGTTCACTGGAATATACAAGTTTGGGAAAACAGCTTTTCAACATATTCTTACAAATCCTAAGAAAGGAATACACAGTAGATAACATTTAAAGAGGACAATACTAAGAAGGTGACTCATCATACTTGGCATACCTGACTTTGCACTCCCACCCTTATGATAAGGTTTATATATGGGAAAGAATTGACATAAAATGCGACATTAAGAAAAAATTCACTGTGATATAGCATACAAAAATAAAGTTCTTGAGATAACTGAGCAGCGAAAAGAAACCACATCCTCGGTCTACTTATGTTGACCAATTTTAAAAAACAAGAGCTTTATTGAGATAAGATTTATATAACACACAATTCACCTAAAGTGTAAAAATTCAATGGCTTTGGTTAAGAGTTGTGCAGCCATCACCAGAATCAATTTTCACCACCCACAAAAAGCCCTGTACTGGTTGGCTATCACCTCTCTTTCCCTAACTATGCCCCTAGTGCTATGCAATCACTAATCTATTTTCTGTCCCTATGCATTTGCCTATTCTAGACCTTTCATATAAATGGAATCATTAATATGCGCTCTTTTGTGACTGGCTTTTTTCACTGAGCATGTTTTGAAATTTGATCCATACTGAAGCATGGATCAATACTTCCTTTTTGGGCACCTGGGTGGCTCAGTCGGTTAAGCGACTGCCTTCGGCTCAGGTCATGATCCTGGAGTCCCGGGATCGAGTCCCGCATCGGGCTCCCTGCTCAGTGGACAGTCTGCTTCTCCCTCTGACCCTCCTCCCTCTCATGCTCTCTGTCTCTCATTCTCTCTCTCGCAAATAAATAAAATCTTTAAAATATATATATATACTTCCTTTTTATCATCAAATAATAGACCATTGTATGCATATGCTGCATTTTGTTTATTCATTAGCTGATGGACATTTGGGTTGTTTCCCCTTTTGGCTACTCTGAAGACGCATTAGCACGATTTTGTGTTGGACACATATTTTCAGTTCTTCTGTGTTCAGATCTTAAAGTAGAATGGCTGGGTCTTAGATCAACTCTATGTTTAACTTTTTGAGGAACTGTCAAAATGTTTTCCAAAATGGCTATACCATTTTTACAATTCTACAGGAATGTATGAGGGTTCTAATCCTTCTCAACACTTGTTATCGCCTGTCTATTTGATTTGACCAATGTTTTTAAAGGGACATAATAAAAATAAAGACAATATTTGACTACGTTCCTTCTTCTTAATGGTTTGCAGAAATCTGAAAATATACATTTCCTTACCCACCTCAAATACTGCCTGAGAATAAACAGAAAACAAACAAAATAATTCCATTAGTGTATATAAGAATACCACTTTGCAGCCTGAAAAAGAGACAATGAAGCTATCTGTTTGGACTGTTCCCCCTTAAGGCAAAAGCCCTTTCTAACAGAAGAACCATAAACATATCTCAAGCCAGCTGAAATAAATCATGAAAATTTCAGGACCCACCAGTAAGGAACATCTCCCAGAACTGACTTAATGCCAAGTACAGGTCTCAACTTCTATGAAAGTTAAACTTTGTCCTAACTTTTAAATATTAAAGGCTTAAGCACATGCTGGGAAACTTCTCTCTCGTAATTACTTTCAGTGGCTACACTGTCAGGCACAATTTTATTAATAAGAGCAACCAAAAGTAACTATCTTGTATGCCTCTAACAGCAAGCTAGGAGGTTCATCTGAACAGAATTTCACTGAACTACCCTCTAAGGTGGGTACAAGTCCTTTCTATTCCCACCCAAACTCTTGCAATTCTACCCTCAGAAATAACTAAATAATATATTTGGATTAGCATCCTTACTGACATTTTTCTACACAAATAAAAATATGAAAATATTTTTAAGGACATATATCTATATTTTTAAAAGGTTTTATTTATTTATTTGAGGCAGAGAGAGAGAGAGAGAAGCACAAGCGGGGGGTACCGGGGGAGAGGGAGAAGCGGACTCCCCACTGAGCAGGAAGCCTGACACCGGGCTCAATCCAAGGACATACATTTATACATAAATTTCAAATATACACATTCTTTATATATTGTAATATCATCTAAATTTTATGTATCAGGAAATTTAATTAGCTTGCCAGAGGACTCGGACATTAAGGGGCACAGCCAAGATCCAAACTCAGTATATTTTCAAAATGAGTGGCTACTTGTTGTGGGCTGAATGGTGGCCACCAAAAAGTTATGTCCTAATCCTTAGAATCTGTGCATGTTAGGTTATTTGGAAAAGGAGTCTTGGCACATGTAATTAAGTTAAGGATCTTGAGATGAGATCATCCTGGATTATCTCAAGTGTCCTAAATCCAATGACACAGAGGACAGACAGAAAAGAAGGTGATGTGAAAACAGGAAGAGATTGCAGTGATGCGGCCACAAGGCAAGTAAGTCAGCAACCACCAGAAGCTAAAAAATACAAGAAACAGAGTTCTCCCCTAGAGCCTCCATAGGGAGTATGGCCCTGCTGACACCCTGATTTCAGACTTCTGGCCTCCAGAACATGAGAAAATAAATTTTGTTGTCTTTTCTTTTTTTTTTTAAGCTTTTATTTATTTATTTGACAGAGAGAGAGACACAGCGAGAGAGGGAACACAAGCAGGGGGAGTGGGAGAGGGAGAAGCCGGCTTCCCGCTGAGCAGGGAGCCCGATGCGGGGCTCGATCCCAGGACCCTGGGATCATGACCTGAGCCGAAGGCAGACGCTTAACAACTGAGCCACCCAGGCGCCCCTAAATTTTGTTGTCTTTACAGGCACGTAGTTTGTGGTAATTTGTTACAGCAGTCTCAGAAAGCTACCAGTATGTAAAACTGATTTTGAAGTGTCATTATCAACCCATAGATGTTTATGTATTTGAAATGTTTAAATCAAAAACAATCATTACAAATTTGGCATTCAAACTGTAACCTTTTGGTTTTGTGGGTGAGCCTTCAAGTTGTAAACCATCTCTGGGACATGACCTCAGCAGTATCCAGCTTCCTCGCTATCTGCCACAGAAAGTGTCTCAGGCAACCTTGCATATTTTTTTGCCCAACTTGGATCAGCCACTTCTCTAAAGACCCTGGTATCTTTTAATTGGAAATGTTATTAAAAGACCATGTGCTGCAGAGTAGGGGGTGCGCACTGCTACGGGGTTACCATTGGTTCTAGGACTTTTCAATAGTTAGAACAAGAAAGGCCTTTTTTTTAGAAAAAGAAAAATAAATTCATGGATGGATACCAAATTAAGATTACAGGACTGTCACCTAACTTTTCTGATTCTATAATTCTATCACTTCTCTTCTTCCTTGATAATCCTGGTTCCTGAGAACATTACTGTAATTATTAATTTGCTTTCTACTATAGATCTAATTTCAAAGAAACAGTCCCTATTACTGAAAATAAGACTACTGAATGCAGTTTAAGATTTATTGATGTTTGGTCTCCTGTAATTAAGATTCCAAGCAACTTACTTATGTCACTATGCCACAAATTTGACATATTCTTGAGCTTGCTTTGTTTCATATTTCTAGAAAGTACATTTTAAAAACTTGTTTTAATTATTGTAAAGTGATAAAACTGACTTCCATGTAAGTCTAGCTCCCTCCCCTGTATACACCCCTTTATTACTTCTCTTCCGGTTTATGAAATCATTTATATTAATTTGTATCCTTCCATTGTTTTTATACTTGTATTTTTGTTTTGGTGAAAACAGTAGAGATATTTTAATACTTTCACTCATTTCTTTTTTTTTTAGATTTTATTTATTTATTTGAGAGAAAGAGAATGAGAGAGAGCACATGAGAGGGGGGAGGGTCAGAGGGAGAAGCAGACCCTCCGCTGAGCAGGGAGCCCGATGCGGGACTCGATTCACGGACTCCAGGATCATGACCTGAGCCGAAGGCAGTCGCTTAACCAACTGAGCCACCCAGGCGCCCCCTTTCACTCATTTCTTTAAGCAAAAAATCAAGTACCATAAGCTGTCCAGAATATTGATTTTTTAAAACTTAAAAT